CACCACAGCCTTTAGTCCTGGGGAGCCCCCCGGCCGCCCCAAAGCTGTCATAGCCTTCCCCAAAAGCCACACATTGAGAAGTAAAAACCTCCCCTGGCTTCCCCAGAGGATATTCAGAGTAGTAAGAGAAAGGAGCACATGGTCTCGACTCTGAAAACTTGGAAAACTCCAAGGAAAGAGATGCTGTAGAGCAGTGGGTCTCAGACTTGAGTGCATAAGAATCAGCAGCAGGTTCCTGGGTCCTTCCCCTGAGAAATTCTGACTCGCTAGCTCTTGGGTGGGACCCAGGAATTCTGCATTTTCAACTCCCTTCCCAGAAGATTCAGGTGCAGGCAGTCCATGGGCCACGCCGATGTGGAGACTGAAGGTCTGGTGATCACATGACTGCAACTTGTCTAAGGTAAAGTTATTCCTGAAAAGATTCCAAGAAGGAGGGCCTTGACCCACTGAAGACTCCCAGATCCGAACCCTTTCTCCTCATCAGGTTTTCCTAAGGCCTGTGAGAATGTCTGCCCTTGACCATGGCATCATCGACCTACCATAGGGAATGGAGACTCGGGATGTAGAAGCTGGCAAGACCTCTGTTTCAGGGTGGCACAGATGTCCCTCTCTTGGCACCATAACCCAGCCCCATAGAGCTTTCCTCAGGCCGCTGAGAGCCTCACCCATATCCGCCCCCACCAAGATGTTGAGCAGCATCACCCCTGGATGGAGCAGGCTCATGGCTTCAAGCAAGGACGGAACCTCATCTTCCAGGTCCGGTATCCTTTTCTTTTCTTTCTTTCCCAAAGCCTTCCCCTATCCCACCCCCCACCTGCACCTCCACTGCCTCTGCCAGTTCAAGTGCACTATCATTTCAACCTTCTTGGAGAAAATGCAGCTCAGCGTGGCTTCACCCCTACCAGTGCCCTGCACCCAGCGGGTCCCTGCCCGGTGCTTCCAGGGACACAGCCCTGCTTGCAGGTCCTGGACAGCTTCCACTGGGCTAAACGGGACTTCTGTGATCTCTCTGCCGACAGCTCTAAGAATCCGAGGAGGGGCCTTGTTTACCAGTCCTTTCAAGGTTCTATCCCCAAACCAAAGGAGCCAGAATCAGTTCTGCATGGATGCACGACACTCTGTGGTGAAGAAAGGATTTGGCCACTGAGGATTTCCTGTGTGAGATTTCCCTAGGCGCTCTGGGTATGCTATGTTATCTGCACAACAACCCCTGCAGTGCCACGAGGAAGCTGGTTCAAAGAGACGGAGCATCTGGCCCAAGGTCACACAGCCAGTGGGTGAATTCGAACCTGGGACTCTTAGACCTCAAAGCCTTGCCACCAGATTGGGTGACCTGAGGAGAAAACAAGACCAAAGCGGACTTCTCCCGCTGGCCTGGGTGAGAGGCTGGGGTGTGTGTGAAGCCAGGGCTCTCTCTCTCTCTCTATCCCTCCCCGGGGAGAAGGAACAGCCTGATAAAATACATGTTCAATTATGCAAAGTGGTTCAGGAATGGGGCAGTCTGCTTAATAGTTATCGTATTTCTCATGAATGAATTACCATTTTTAACGGAATCACAATAGCACAAAACACATTTAATACAAACTAGACTGAACATAAATGAGTCTTACTTTGATGGGCCAAAGGCACTTAAGGACGCTGGGGTGTCTCAGGGACAAAATTATAAAGGCCAATGATGACTACGCAACGTAGAAAAAAAAATTGGGGTTATTTTAGCTCTTGGGTTGTTTGAATTCTAAATTAGTGGGTTTTATTTTCATTTTTTAGACACAATTTCTGGGCATCCACTGCTGAGGTCTGCTGTTAGGCAAAGGAAGGACTGGCTTTGTGAAAAGACAGTGGGGTTATTTTGTGGGCAGAGGTGGGGGCGAGGCAGATACCAGGGCTGACACCCAGATGCTAACTGGGTGCTGCTGGAGAGCCTGGGGTGCTCCTTTCCACTCTCACCCCTTCTCAGAGCGGGGCTGCAGCCCCCACTCCCTCATTGCTGTGCGGGCCAGGCAGACCCCTGGCAAAATGACAGCCAGGTTTCAACACTGTTCCATCCGATTGCTGGGCAGTGGGGAGGGGGTAACTCCATGCCTCTCTTCCCTGCTCTGTGGAGCCTCAAGACCCCCTTGCTCCGACCCTGGGTGCTCTGTAGCCAGTCTCCTCCGCGGCTTATCGGCCACAGCTGTCAGAGAGCCTACAGCGGGCAGCCAGCCCCCTCCCCAGGGCAAGAGTCAGGGCTGGCAATTTGAACATTTTAACCAAATTGTTTAAAAAGCTTTCCTCCTCACAAGCCACTGTCTCCTGCTCAACGCTGTCACAAACAATTTGGTACATAAGCTAATTCCTGCCGGGCGAGCCCAGGGTGGCAGCCTCCTCCCCTTGCCTTAGCTACGATGCGGTGCATTCGTGTTCTGAATTCTCGCTGGTCCCCATCGCCAGATGGGAAGCTAAGCCACCACTCTGCCTCCGCCCCCACTCTTGGCAGTTTATCCATCCAAAGCCAGGACATGCTGCGTCCAACTAGGTCCTCCCTCCCCCGGCCCTTGTCTCGCCGGCTCTGTATTGGTTGGCTGGCTGCTGGCTTGGTGCCCACTCTCCCCGCAGTGAATACAATCCTCCACCGAGGTGGTGGTGTGTAGGGTTTCAGAACTACTCCTGTTTTCCCGGTGGACAAGAGGAACTGCGCTGGTGGCTGGGGGAAGAAACAGGCTTTCTGTGTTTTTGTTCTTGCTGGTGGTGGAGTCAAGGGTGACGATGGGCTGAGAGCACCCACTGGAGTCTGAAATCCACGTTGTTGGCCAGTGTGGGATGGCCTCCCTCTGCAGGTGCAGTGCTCAGAGGGGCCTGGCCCTCTCTGCTTTCCTCACCTCCCTCCATCGTCCATCAACTGCCTTCCTGTGCGGGGGCAGCAGGGCACCCCCAGGGCTGCTGAGGTGGTAGACATATGACGACTCCTGTCCTTTCTCACTATGGAGCTGCCATGGCTCCCCAGTGCAATCAAGACACTCCCTGCTCTTCCCAGAGCACCTACAACCATCTGCTACCTGCGGGGAGCGGCAGAGCAGTGCTGAGCCCAAGGGCTTGGTTTCAGAGCAGCCCAGGGCCCAAGGAATCTGAGTTGGCCATGAGCCTGGTTGGGTTCAAGTTCCATCTTCCCTGTCCCAGCCCCCCAATCCCATCCCATCACCATCTCCACACAGCTTTGGGTACCATTCCCTTCCACTTGCTCCATCCCTTAAAACAAAACTTGGTCCCTTCGGTATAAAAGGGACAAAGTCAGTGTACTCCTCAGCGGCTCCGCTGCGCAAGCCCACAAGCATGCGACAGGTGTGTGTTAGTTCATGCATCCAGGAAACAAACGCCCGTGCCTCAGGGGGCTGCGCTCTGGGGCCAGGCCTCCTGGGAAGCAGCAAGCTGGCCCTGGGAGGGTGCCATGCCGGAACCGGCTTCACAGAGGCAGGGTGAGCCAAATGTCACCACCCGCCAGGGGAACTGGCAACAATGGGATTCCAATGAGTCAGTCTCTGCCTTTCTTCCGAGGCGGGGGTGTGGGCAGAAAGGGCCTGACTGCTAGCTCTCCCTCCCCACAGGGAGAAGACAGGGGAGGCAGGGAAGCCGGGAGGGGGCTGTCACTCAGCCGCTGCTAATTTCTATTCATTAAAACTTTACAAGATGAGCCGAGATGAGGTGACGCCCATGCGTGGGCTTCTTCAGGTGGAGAGTCAGGCATCTCCGGGTCTGCTGCAGGGTGCAATACTATGGGGGCGGGAGTGCACCTGGCACTCCTCGGCTTGAGACCCATGCCAGGGAGGAAGGTGGCATTGCAGGGCAGGGGATAGCTGAGCCAAAGACCCCATGAGAGCTGGTGGCCACTAATGCACCGATCCAGACCAGGGGGGTCAGCCGGGATGGGCCCAGCCTGTTGGGGCCACAGACAAGGGCTCCTATAGGTGTGCTGCCAGGTAAATACTTGGCCCCATGTGCTCTGCCTTGGGCTGTATGGAGGAGTGGTTAAGGACAGGTTGAATCGCCTCCACTCAGATCCTGGCAATATCACTTCCTGGCAAGTGACTAACTTCCCTGAGCCTCAGCTTCCTCTTCTATAAAATGGGGCTAATCAGACCTTTACTATGGGGTTAGTGTGAGGATCGAGTGAATAAAGCGTGCGAGGTACAAGGAAGGTGCCTGGCCCAGGGTAGGACACGGTGGGTGGGGGCTCATTGACATCATCTGCACGTTCAGCTGATTGGGCTCAGGGCTCTGAATGACTAGCCAGCTGAGCTGGCCTCTGCCCTCCGGGGTAGCCCGGAGGCTCTCTGAGGCCAGGCCTGCCCGAGAGGCATCGGGAGGGGCCGAGGTGGTGGCAGGAGCACGTTAGTTCACACCGAGGGGCACACGCCATGCTGCACTGCACGCCAGGTGCCACCTACTGCACTAGTCGCTCTCGGGCCGGTACAGGTACCGCATCATCAGGCTGTCCACCTCTTTCTTACGCTTCTTCTCCTCCTTCCGCGACGGCCGGGGCGCCTGCCCAGCCTCCTCTTTTTCCGCGGCTGGGCCCTTCTTCACGCTGGAGCGGCTGTGGCCTGAGACCGTAGAGCCGCTGGATGATGAGGACTCCGACTCCGACTCTGTTCTCTTTCTCCTCGACTTGGACTTCTTCTTGCCCTTTCGCGAGCGCCCCTTCTTCCGCCGCCTGTGCTCTGAGGAATCCTCGGAGCTGGAGCTGGAGCTGGAGCTGGAGCTGGAGCTGCTCCTTCTCTTGCTCCTGCTCTTGCTCCGGCTCTTGCGGCTGCTGCGGGACCGGGACCGAGAGACATCGGCCGCAGAGGCTGAGCGGCGGATGCTGGTGGCCTGCTCGGGGGACTCCCGCTGGGCGCTCCGGGCACTCTGGATGCTCTTCCGGTCTTCCTCGGAGTCGGGCTCCAGGCTGGTCCGCTGGAACGGGACGGGTTTGTAGCTCAACACCTCATTGATGGCAGCCTCCAGGTCCGGGTCCAGGTAGGAGTGGCGGCTGACAGGGCGGGTGCTGGAGCCCAGAGGCTCCTCCGTGGCGGAGGCCGAGATGCGTGGCTGCGGCGGCACCGACAGGCTGCGGGCCAGCGACGGGTGGCTGTACTGCGAGTGCGCCTCACTCAGAGGCCACGCTGGCCCCGTCATCCCACTCATCCAGGCAGCCCCGGCCCAGGGACAGGCGGGAGTCAGGGCTCTCCCGGCCGAGGCCCGAGGCCCGGCCCAAGGAAGGGCTGAAGGTCCTGGACAGACTGTCCAGCCAGGAGGTGCTGCGGCGGGAACTGGGGGAGCCCGACAGTGAGATGCTCATGGAGGAGCGGGCCCTGTCTTCGCCCGAGCCACACCGTGTGGCCGAGGAGGCCCGGCTGACAGGTGCAGAGACGGTCGAGGCCCCGTCAAAGTCTGAGCCCCACCGCTTCTCCAGCCCCCGGCTGGCACGGCTCCCGACCGCGGAGAAGATGGAGCCACGTTCACTTGGCTCCTCAGACCTCCTGCCCTGGCCTGGTTCCCCCCTGGGGCTCGGGCGAGCCTTCCGCGGGGACCTCTCGGGGGAGGCGGCCCGCTCGCTCAGGGTGGTGAAGAGTGACTCTGCGTCCCCCGTGCCCCCGATGGAGTCCTTCAGGGTGAGCCTCTTCCGATAGCTCAGGGAGCTCAGTGCAGAGGCTGGCCTCTCCTCCACCCCCTTGCCCTCCTTGCCCTCCTTCCCGAGGGTGCTGAGGGCCGTTCTGAGGGAGGAGGTGCGACCGGGGAAGAGAGAACCGATAGTGGATTAGGGGAGAATGAGAGAGAGAGAGAGAGAGAGAGAGAGAAAGAGAGAGAGAGAGAGGCGCGTTAAACCTAGAGAATACAGACGCAGGGGGAGGGAGGAGAAATCGGCAGCAGCCCTGGCAAAGTGGCGGTGAGAGCGTCGGAGGAAATGAAGCAAAATAATTTGCGTCAGTGAAAATAGCTTCATGGAGAATGTCATGTAAATTAGACTATTGTTCTATTTCATCACTTTTCCCCCTCTAAAACGTTTAGTTCAATTTATTTCATTGTCAACTACCTGGAGCCTCGTGCCACGCAGTGGTGAATGGCAGTGGGGCGGGGAAGGCAGCGTTATCTGCAATAACAAAATGTTGTTCGGCCGAATAAATTAAATCAATTAGAGGGGGCCATTGGGTGCCTGTGGTGAGGGGCTGGGCTTGGGAAGGAGCCTCAGGAGGGCTGGAGAAGGGGAGGGATTCCTTTTCCTACCCAGCCCACCTGCTGTCTTGGAAGGAGGTGGGGTGCGATGGCTCTGAGCTGGGGAGGAGGGGGAAGGGGACACAGGGAAGGTGGGAACAGAGGACTGGTCTCCCTACTGCCATGCTGGCTGGCGGGTGAGGGATGGGGAAGGCAGACCCCTGGATACCAGAAGTAGTTGTCTGATCAGGAGACTGTGAATGGGCTAGAAAATAGGGGAGCAAGCCTACCTGCCCCCCACCATGGGTGTGAACAGAAGCATGGGGGGGGGCGGTGGGCAGTAAAAAGGTTAGAGGAAGGAGAGGATGGGCAGAGAAAGTCGGCGCTGTGTCTGTAGCGGTGACAGGGGAGTCGGAACCAGGGCCTTTGCTGCAGCTGCTCCTGCTAAGACCTCCGACGGCCCAAACTATGAGGCAGTCCAGTCAACATTTGTTGAAAGTGTAAGTGGGGATGCAGTTAAACCTACACCAAACCAAAGCCCTGAGCCTGGGGCACCGCAGACTCTGACTAAGAAGAAACCGCGCCTCCTGTGCTCATTCCACATGCAGGGGGCCCCCGAGGCCCCTCACCCTCATGCCACCCCACAGACGCAGGAGGCGTGAGGCCTCCCCTTTGGGATAAAGGCCTACTGCTCGTCCAGCCTGGGGCGTGGGTGGCTTTTCCTCCCCGCTCCAGGCCACGTGCTCACCTGGAACTCTTCAAGCTGCCATCGTCGGACGTTGCCTTGGAAGAAGGCCCCTTGTTTTTCGACAACCACGACTTGACCCCGTCGACCCGGTCCTCCAGCTCCGAGTCCACATCTGAGTCGCCCTCGCTGTGGGATGAGGAGCAGAAGGGTAGGCGAGGCTGGGGAACAGGTGATCACCCGCTGCCCCGCAGGGAGCGCTGAAGGGGCGGCAGGTGTGTCTGGGGCGGGGGTGGGATGCAGGGTGGCATGCGCATCAGTGAGTCGGGGAGAACAGAGAGGTTAGAGAGAGCGCACCGTTCATCAGAACCCTGGCCCCACTCAGCAGGCCGCCCTGTTGACAGCCACCAAGACCCTGAGGAGCATGGGGGGCACCTCCGTTCCACTGTGTGACCTTTCACTCTGTCTGACCGTTCAGCAAACCAACCCAGAGAGAATGATAAGAAGACCATTCATTCATCAATGACACCTGGAGGGCTCTTGGTTAAAAAGAGGAGTCCTGGGCCCTTCAGTTACTCCCTGAGGCCTACTCTGCTATTTCTTATCTACCCTCTCCCCAAAATGTGGCTCTAGCTGCTGTAATTTTCCATGCCTTCCTTGCAAGAGCTGGGCTGCTGGCCCTGAGACAGGAAAGAGAAGGGAGTCATTGTGACTTTAGGTTAGCTTGAACCTGGAGTCTCCTGAGCTGATGGCAATGCCAAACCGGGCCCTCGAGGCCATATCCCCAACCCATCCTGCAACTGCCCTGGCCCTTAGGAAACACAGGGGGCAGCAGCATTTCCCAAGGAGCTGGCGACAACTTCAGGATTTAAACTGCACCCTGAGACCCAGTCGGGCCCAGAAAGTCCCGGACAAGGGCTCTGTCTCTCCAAGTCCCCTCTTCCGCCCCCCAGACAGCCTCCAGCTCTTGCCCCTCGGTGCTTCTCTTGGCCAAGCTGGCCTGAGCCCTCTCTACTTGCAGGAAAGCCCAAAGGGGTCAAATTCTGAGGCCGGAGTCACGGCGACCCCTCACAGAGGAGCAGGGGCTTGGAGACAGCTTCCGAGCGAGAATACTCCCAGGATTCTGCAAAATGTCTGCTTGTCACGTTCCCCTGCTACGGATAGGCTAGGATTTCTCCTTGATATAAATTTCCTTTCATCTGTGTCAACAGGAGCAGCCCTGTCCCTGAATTATGTTCTTGAATAAATAGCCACACAGGCGCGTGTGCGTGTGCATGCATGCGTGTACACACACACACACACACACACACACACACACACACACGACACCGCCAGACTCTATTCTGGGGACTGTGAGAGAGCATGACTCGTGGGGAGGGGAATAAAAAGGCACATTTTATGGGCTCCCGTCAAATACAGAATTATAACAAAGACGAGGCTGGCTGCTGCCCCGGGTAAACAGGAGTTTAGCAGACAGCCCCGTAACCACTAATGCCAGCCCTGTGCCGTCCGGGCCCGGCAGATTTACCGTGGTGCAAGGGCCCCGCGGAATGCCAATACCGCCTGATTTATACGCCCTCGCAGAAAACCGCCTCCTCCAGCTTCGCAGCCGGTAATTTATCACCGCCGTTCATAACCATATTGATTGCCTTTAGAAAGGAGGTGCTGTATGCATCGCAAAATCTATGTCTACATGTTAAAAGCGTTTCTGTATAAATCTCCCTTAATACCACGCTGTTTACTGCTTTCATTAAGGTTATGGCAATAACAACTGTATCTCTAAGTAAATCGAAACATTATTTTTCTGCCCGCCTTAGCACGCTCGCTCGATAACTTGGAGCTGAGGCCCAGAGCTGCTGAGGAAGGAGCCGCATCACCTCGCTGCCGTCAGCGGGAACCCAGCCTGGACTGCATGCCCTTGTGCGCCTGCGTGAGTGCCCGGTGGGTGTGTGTGTGTGTGTGTGTGTGTGTGTGTGTAAGCACCCATGTGTTGTGGTGCCTGGCAATGATTTAGAATATAATCTTAAATGCACGTTTTATCAGTCCTTGAAGCTGCTACAGCCCAAGGATGGCGGGGCTGGTACACACAGGGGACAGACGCCATGGGCCCAGCATACGAATCGATCTCCTCACATTCAGAGCGACGAGTCGGCGGAGAGGCTGGCCTGCCCTCGCCTTCCCTGCAGTTCCAAGCATATAGATGATGTTTGGGCTCTTTTCCTTAAATAATCAAGCCCGTGAACAAACTCCAGGGGCAGGCAGGCTCAGGGGGCAGTTGAAATTTTAAATGGTTGGAATTAAACCTCGTGTCAAATACAATTTATGTCCAGGCTCATGTGCTATTAGTTAACTGGGAGCCGGATCGCGGGGGAACAAACAAACGGAGACAGAACGGCGGGGGATATTAATTGTGTGTGACAACCGGGCTCCAGCGGCCCTCTATCACTGTTACACACTATTACATTTATCATTAGCTCACGAAGTCCTCTGCGCCGCCGCCAGCCCATCCTGGCCAGGGCAGGAGGCCTGCCAGGCGAGAGAGAGTGGGGGAGGAAACCCAACCCAAACTACAGGAACAATCTTCCCCGAAACAGCCGGGTCGAACTTGGCGGAGGGTCACCCGGGTCCGCCCGAAGGCCTGCGCATCTGCACCTGCTGTCCGGCTCCCACCCAGAGCGAGGGAGACGATGAGCGGGTGGACGTACTGGGCTTCCTGCCACCAGCTCAAGGCCCGGGGCCTCCCTCTGCCCGATGTGCCCGCAGGGAGTAAAGTAAACACATCTGGCTGTGTTCCCTTCCCAGCCACAGCAGAGCGGCCGTGATTAGCTGCCTGAATGCTTTCTCCAAACAAGTGACTGCTCGATGCCCCTCACCTCCTGCCCTTGTCTGCCAACCGAGGTGGCAGACCTTGCAAAACGAGACATACCCGCTTCTCTCAGGCTCCAAAGGAGCCCCAGGATGCGGGCAAATCCATCCCAAACAGACTTTTCCCCAGAGAAATAGGCGGGGGAGGCGGCGACACTTGGTTTCGGAGGGAGGAGAGGGCTGGAGCGCAGGAAGGCAGACCTGCTACCTCTTGAGGCTGAGCTCTCCTTGCTGATGGAGCCCCCATCCTGCCCGCCAGGGCGGGCCGACGAGCCTTCCTGGGGGAACGCACCCTGTTGCCTCCGGCACAGCCCAGCCTGTCACCCGGCCTCCCCTCAGGACAGAGTCAGCAGTGTTAGCGTGAGAGCCTGGCTCAGAGGAGATGCGAGAGGCTGTGTGTCCCGCCGCCCCACCCCCCATGCGTCATGCAGCAGGCCAATTGGGGGCCAGTGTTAGGGGCGGTTAGACACCACGCCAGGAGAGGCAGAGAGCGCATGCCCTCCAGTCCTCACGGTTTATTTTTCCTTTTCTGATATTTTGTCACCATGTCCTGCAAACTGGAAACAGAAAGAAAATGGTGGGCCAGGGGGGCCAGAAGAAGACGAAAAAAATCAGGCAAACCCAGGTGGACCCCTCAGCTGAGGACCCCTCTTTCCTCAGCAAGAGACCAGAGGGTGGGAGGAGTGACGGTGCTGTCCCCAGAGGGAGGTCTGGGCCGCCCCAGGCACCTTTCCCCTGACACAAAGGAGCAGGCGCCCTGAGACCTGCCTGCAGGATGCGGCCCTGGCCCTCATGCAGGAAGGGGGCAGCTTTGGGGACGCTGCTCAGGGCAGCCCTGGGAGCCTCTCCAGGGCCTGACCACCCCACGCCCTCGACTGCCGGTCTGCCTGCCTCACGAGTTCCTCCCCAGCCTAAGACTACAAATCTCTCTGTCTCTCCTAAACCATTCCTCGGGTGGGTTTTATGAGAGAAAACCTCTGGCATGGTAACAAGGCACCACGGCCCTTAAATCTCCGCTCTCCCCAGAGCAGGGCAGGCGCCATCGGAAATGCAGCTAAACGGGGGAATAACTCATCCCAAACAGGCAGCGCCGGACAGCCAGGCCCGGGGAGGCCCGGGGAGGGAGGACCGCGAGGATGAGGGGAGGAGTCTCACCCAGGCAGCACCTGTTCTGCCCTCGGCAGGTCCGTGCTGGGGTCTGGCAATGAGGGGAGGGAGGCTGGTGGCTCAGTGACGGGCAGACAGAGGTTGTAACTGTTCTACCTGGTGGCCTGGCCCAGAGGCGGCCGAGAGGGCCTCCGCGCTGCCTGAAGCTGCCCTAGGGGCCCCTCTCACCTGTTGATGAGGTCCTCGTTCTCATCGCTCTCCATCTCATCCTCAATGGCGGCCTGCAGGTCCCCGATGCGCTTGAATGCCAGTTTTAGATCGGCCTGCAGGCTCTGGTTAGCAGCCTCCAGACTCTCCAGATCCATTTCCTAGGAGGGAAAGTGGGGAGTCCAGTCCACAGGAGGGCCAGTCTCTCGTCCAGCTGCCCCAGAGAAAGCCTACTTCGAGGCTCGCCCAGCCAGGCAGGAGCTACATAGGTGCTTGTTTGTTTGTTTTTTGCTTTGGTGTTGCTGGGCGGTGGTGCCTAGTCTCGCCTGATGGAGACTCCAGGACCACCCTTGGCCTCTGGCCTGCCCTCAGGGCTCCCTGGACTGTCCTCTTTCCTCCAATTCTCTAAACCATGGTTTCTTTGGGACCCCCCCCCCACCAGCCCAGGGGTAAGGTGTCCTCAGAGAGCTGCCAGCGTGGGGCCCCAGGGTGGGATGCATTACCAGTTCGTGCTTCTTGCGGCTTGCCTCAGCCTCCTTCCTGGCCAGCTCGCCCATCTCCTCCTTGGTGTCCCGGAGCTGCCGCTGCAGCCTCTTGTTCTGCTCTTTCTCCCGGTTCTCAGCTGCTGTGCGCTGATCCCGGTCCTCGGTCAGCTTCTCCATGTTCTCCTTGAGCCGGCTGGCCAGGCTCTGGACAGGGAGGCGGGAAGAGGGGCCCATCAGCCAGGCAGAGAGAGGGCTGTGGCGGAACTCCGGAGTCAGGAGGCCTGGGGTCCACTCCGGCTCCACCACTCACTGGTGGGCAAGCAACTAAAGCCCTGTGAGGCAGCCTCCTTTGCCTTTCTGTAAAATGGGAGACTAACACCTAGTCCCTATGGGTCTTTTAAGGACCGAGGAAGGTGAAGTAGGTGAAGGCATGGAAGATGACAGGTGCTAGCAGCATCACCCTCACTACCGAGGGCTGCCTCCAGCCTGCGCCTGTCCTATTGACACCACGTGTGGGGCCTCCACGAGCAGCAGGCTTCCCTCAGAGACCCCGAACCCAGAAGCACCAAAAGCTACATCCTGAGCTCAGAGGTAAATGGCTTTACTGAGAATTCCCAGATTGGGAGGAGACTTAGCAGTCGTCAGATTCCTAGCACAAAGCCATCCCTCTAAGCCTGATGCATCTTTTCCCCCAGGAACAGGAACACACTTATTCCGGCTGGGCCACAGGATGCTGAGCAGAAGATGGCCTGGAGACTGGGCAGAGGGTGGGGGAAGGACCCTGGTTCCACCCTGCCTGCCGCGGGGCCTCCGCCTCTCCGCCCCCCTCTCAGTCTCTGTGTCTGTAAAATAATAGCGTGAGGCTACGTGACCTCTAAGGGCCCTTTGTGTTTACTATTCCATGCGTCTAAACCGCAATACTGCCTTTCTGAGCAGAAGGGAACATGAAAGAGAGAGCTGAGGAAAGGGACTGGGGCCCACGAGAAAAGGAGACAAATACAGCAGGTCTGTCCTATAGCCACCAGACCAGGGCCTCGTCTGCCCTTGACAGCTTTGTGACCTTAGGCAGCCTACCTAACCCTTCCTGTAGGTAAAGGCAGAACATGAACTATGATTAAGTCTCTTCTAACTCTCTCTAGCTCTCCTGCGGACTGTGACCCCATCTCGGGAGGTTCAGCCATATTCTCTTCCTAGGTCAAGGGCACCCTCCATGCCCACTGCCAGCCCACAGCCACTGCTTCCATCCCCACCCTAGTGCCTGCTCCACCGAGGAGGGGTTGATGGAAGGTGGCAGGGGTGCTCCTCAGCACCCACACCCGTGAACACAGTTCTCATGGAGAAATGTGGGTGCTTAGCCATGTGTCTACAAGCTCGAGAAGGACGAGAACATAAAAACAGGGCGAGAGGGGTGGAAACCCGGAGACAGAATGCTGCCTGCCTCTTTCTTCTTACCTGCTCAGCCGGAAAGGGAGGGAGCTGGAGCATGCTGGCTCCGCGACATTGAACAGAAAGGATTGATGGAGATTACAGTTGAGAGGAAGGAGAGAGAAAAAAAGAAAAGAGAACGAAAAATAGAGAGGAGGAGGAATGGGAGGGGGGGAAAGGGAAAAAACAGGAAGGGGGTGAGAAAGGGGAATAAGATTAGGGAGAAGAGAAATACAAAGAGAAGAAAGAATGGGGGGAAATGATGAGAGGAGAAAAAGCAGACACGAGAAGGGTGGGAAGAAGTGAGGGGAAAAGGGAGTGAAAAAAGGGAAGGGAGAGAAAGAGAGAGCAGTGAGATGAGAGAACAGGCTTCAGCCTCATAGAAGTGGCGCCATTCACTGCATATTTATGACCCTGCCAGAGAGCGAGTGAGGCGGACCTGCGGGGGGAGCTCATGGTGGAGGAAAATATGAAGACGAAAAGCTAAGCTGCTCTGGTCCCTTGGCAGAAAGTAAGCACGAAAACAGAATGTAAAGCAGGCAGGCTCCGTGGTGCCCAGAGAACAGGCCAGGCGGGCAGGGGAGAAGGCACCGCCCTGTCAGCTGGCCTGGCAGCTTGGCAGCGGCCTCTGCCCAGCCCTGCTCAGCACGTGTGGCTCCGGCTACAAGGGCCGCGCTGCCCGGTCACTGCGGACCCGGAGAAGTGTGCACCCACCTCCAGCCGCTTCACTTGGGTCCTTTCGAACTCCAGGCGTGTCTCCAGCTCTCGGATCTTAGCTTCCTGTCTGCTCACCAAGGACTTGTCCACCATGGACTGCTCTAGGAACTCCACTTGGCTCTGGAGGGCTTGTAGCTGGGGGTGGGGAGCGGGAAGAGAAGAAAGAACTGAGCCCACAAGGGAGGGGGCAGAGTCTGGGGCTGGAAAGATCACCATGGTGACCAGAAGGCTGAGGGAGGGAGGGAGGGAGGGATGCACAGGGGAGGTGGAAGAATGGGGCCCTGAGCCAGAGGCGTCCCCCACCTGGCCCAGCGCTGGCACAGATTTAGCCCTTTGGAGAGAAAGGAGAAAGCTGAGGACCAGGGAGGGAATAGAAATGTGAAACGAGGCAGCTGAAGCCAAAGCGTCTGCTATGGCGACATGGCTCCAAGCCTAGCTCTCTGCACTTGACGCTGCTCCGTGGATTGCCGATGGCAGAGAGAAGTGCTTGCTATCCCGGGAGCGTGGGGCTTCATCCCCACGTTTGGGGATCTGGGCACCCTCTCTCTCTACCAAGGCAGACCCTGGTGCCCACCTTCTCCTGCAGCTCTTGCTTCTCCTTGTTGGCTTCTTCTAGCTGAGCCTGGAGGTCATTCATCTGAGCCAGGTCCCGGGAGGCCTGGGAAAGGAGTGAGTGCTGAACAGGATCCTCCATAACCCTCGAATGTGCCCCACTCCACCCTACTCTGAGTGCCAGGGACCGCAGGCACTGCCACCGCTCCCAAGATGCTGCTGCGCTGGGGACCTGTGAGGAGGGCAGTGCCTGCGGCACAGGGTGCGGCAGGCACTCCTGGGCCGGGTACCTGAGCCACAGCTGCCTTGTGCTTCTTCATCAGCTCATTCATGTCTTCCTGATCCTCCTCCAGCCGGTTCTGGATCTCGTTCTTCTCGCGCTGAAGGCGGCTCAGCTGCTCCTCCAGCTGGACAGAAACAAAGGCGGATCAGAGGGCCTCGGTCTGAGCGGGAGTCGGAATCTTCAGTGGGAGGGGCGTGGTGGTGACTGAGGCCAGCTCCCCCTGCTAGAGGGGGTTCCAGGACCAGGACCATCAGGGACCTGTCCGGCTCTGGGCCGGGGAGATGAGGGAAAGGGCTGTCTTTGCAGCTCAGGCCTACCCTCAGCTAAATGACAGCTGCTTCCTGGCAGCTCTGTGGAGGCTAATGAAAAGGCAGAAAAGATCTGCCCAGAACAAGCGACCCAGCACCCAGGCACTAGCAGCCTAGGCCCTAACCTTCGTGCCCTCGGCCCCCTTCAGGTCCCAGGAAGGACCCCTCAAATCCTCGAAGCTCTTGTTTCCCCAGGGACGGCCTGCTCCCTGGCCTTCCAGCCCCCACAGCCAGGCCCCTCGTGGGGGGAGGGGAAGAGACAGCCAACAGCAGCTTCAGGAAATGAATGAATCTATTAGCCTGTAATTCCAAACCAAAATGACTGCGTTGGCTCCTTCTCTGCCCCATCCATCTTGTTACCGGGCTGTGGGGAGTTGGGGAAGCCTCTGCCAAGAAATTTATTAACTCGGATTTAAATAAAATGGTAATTTTATAACAGCCTTTTTTAACACAATTAAGGAATTTGAATTACTCACCTGAAAACTGCTGAAAAGCACAAATGTCACGGGGATAAATCAAGCCTGGAAGATGGGCATCGGTAGCCGGGTGGCTAGCTATGGGGTCGTGGAGCCCAGCCCAGCCTCCTCCCCTGCCCCGTTCCCTGCCGGAGGTAGTACCAGAGCACCGGTGGCCACAGCCCAGTAATGAATTCTCGCCCAGCTTTGCATGGGCCGTGGGAGAGGCGGGGAATTAAAAGGGAGGCATTAAATAAGAGTGCTAATTAGCTGCCGCCTGGGCTTGTCAGTGGGCTGGCCAGGGGAAGGGGAGGGAAACGAGCCATCCCATCCCCTTATCGGTGCTTCTGCTAATCTCTAGGCACCTGCTTACATCCCTCAGCCACATTAGCGGCTTTTATTAATGGTGTTGGGGCCTGCAGCCAAGCTCTCCCAGGCAGATGGCTACGCAGGGCCAGGGGCCCTGGCTGGCTCCCTTTCACCTCGCCCCCTGTCGGTCCTCGGCTGTTAGCGGGGGAGACGGGGGAGGAAGGCCTGCTCTCCCGGCAGAACGTCCTGGCGTGAAGGGATCTGGCTGGGGAAGGGTCCCTGTTTGGAGTGAAGGCAGCCGCTGTCACAGTTCTATTCTCCCTCAGCCCGGCCTGCGCGCCCCGGTTCCTCACCGCTGTCTTGGCTTTGGCGATGTCATCAATCTGCAGGTGCAGGTCTTCGATCTCCACCTCCATGGCTTTGCGTGCTTTCACGGCGGCTGCACAGGTGAACTCGGACTCCTCCAGCTGGACACAGAGACACCCCCGCCCCAGGGAGAGACGTCAGCCATTCCCTGGGGACAGGCGGGCTGTGCAGGGTGCTCACAGGGGAGAGGGGACCCAGGCGCTCTCCTTTCCTCCTCCGTGTACTTCAGACCCTGGGACCTCAGGGTGCTGTAGTGCGTGCACAGGCACCTCCTCCCGTGACAGGGGTGGGTAGCGGGCCCACCCCCAGCAGCCCGGGGCTTGGCAGTCACGCTGGGCATCATGCAGAGACCCCGGGGAGTATGACTGTTCCAAGTGGCTTCTCCCGCTTCCCTGTCACCTTCCTTCCCAAGGACTCGAGACCCACTGAGAGGGACGCGAGGGAGAGAAGGAACACTGGGAGAGTAAGCCCGGTGCCCTGAGAGCGGACCACGTCCTCTCTGCAGATACCTGGTTCTTCAGCTGGGCGATCTCCCGCTTGCTGGGCGCGTTGTTCTTCAGGTGGTCCAGCATGATCTGGGCGTCAGCCAACAGGGCCTTGGTGCGCTTCAGGTCTTTCCGGAGCCGCTTCTCTGACTCGAAGTCCCGCTGGTTCACCTGGGTCAGTGGTCGGCAAACTCATTCGTCAACAGAGCCAAATATCAACAGTACAACAGTTGAAATTTCTTTTGAGAGCCAAATTTTTTAAACTTAAACTATATAGGTAGGTACATTGTTATTAACTTAATTAGGGTACTCCTAAGGCTTAGGAAGAGCCACACTCCAGGGGCCAAAGAGCCGCATGTGGCTCGCGAGCCGCAGTTTGCCAACCACGGATGGGTGGACACCAGAAGTGGAGGCTCTGGGCTCTACCACAGGGCTCCCTCCTATCTTCCCCAAGCTCACGCCTCACCCTGGCTCTCATTCTGAGGCCCCCTAATGAGCAACGACAGTGGAAGTGCCAGGATCACGCCGCCCAGTGAGGAAAGCCTGGGTGTGCGATGTATGATTATCACCCCCGTTCTACACGTGATGGCGGTGGGCTCCACAGATCCCCGCGCCACCCTCCATGTTCCCAGATCTCTCACCTCTGCCCACTGCACTCTGACCCCGGCCCAGAGTGCCATCCCTAAGTCTGGATGGGGCAGGCAGCCGGCCAGGCCCCAGCCAGCGGTCTCCACTCACCTGGTTACTGAGCGTGGCTGAGCTTGCTCTCCAATTCCCCGCTTCTCTGGGAGCACCTACTGCTTGTCCTCATATTCCTCCTCAAGCTGCACTTCCATTTGTTTTAACTGGAGAACCGTGGGGACAGAGCCCTATCAGTGCCCAGTGTCTGGGGCCAGGCAGCCCCCTTCCTCCTAAATCCCCCACCCCCACCCCCTGGGAAAACAGTGGGCGGGGCTGAGCATGAAGACCCCAGAGGGGTCAGACCCTGCACTTGAGGTCCCTGAGGTTTCACGGCAGCCTAGGAGGGAGAGGAGGGATGGCAGGACATGATGGTGGCCCCAAGCTAAAGTGGGAGCCCTCATTCCAGGGTGGGCAGGCCCCACGGAGCCAGGCGAGCTGACGGCACAGGGTGGCTCAGGGTGGGCTGCTGATTAGCAGAGACAGCAGAGAGCACTAGTCCCTCAGGGCCCGAGTTTCTCTACAGACCCTGAGAGCACACATCCCAGCTCATGTCAGGAGCGGAGATTCCTGGCCCAGAAGGGCAATGAAGGAAAGCGTGGCTAAGGCCGGGAAACAGAAATTCCCTTACTTTGAAGCAGTGCTGGGGGAACCGGTGTTTCTACTGACTGGACAGGTAAGTCCCCACGGCCTTACCTTCTTCTGACATGACTGCCGGGCCTCCTCCACCTCCTCATCCCGACTTTCCATCTCCTTGGAATGGGTCTGTCTCATCCGCTCCATCTCCATCTCGAGTCGCAGCTTGGCCTGGAGGTGGGTGGGAGTAGAGGCTGGGTTCCTTTCCCAGCAGCTCGCTGACCTCTGCCCATGGCACTCTGACCCCTGCCCACTGCACTCTGATGGGCTGCTCTCTCAGACTCAGGAGCAGGGAAGGCCTCTGCCGGCAGTTCGCTTTGCTCTCACCTTGCTCCTGTGGCTTTCCTCTCTTTCTAGGTGACTAGCCCAGGCCCAGAGAAGGCTGCTGGGGCGGGACAACCCTGAATCTTTTCCTCTTGGCCTCCAGGCCCTAGCTGACACGGTGGCTCCGTGGCAGCCGGGTGGGCTGCTGTGCATCCTGAGCCCCTTCCCGCTAGAGCTCAACCAAGGCTTGTTTGTGTGGAAAGCACGACGGAAGCTTAGTTATCCGCACACTGTGGTCGGCACAGGTCAGGTGCTCACTCAGCATTTGGTGACTCAGGGAATGAGTGACTGAATTGGAGATCTTGCCCGCCTCTGCCCACGCCTCAGGTTAGCTGTGGGGACTGCGGTGGCTCCCTTAGCCAAGCCTTCCAGCACCTGTTCCAGCATCTGGATGCTCCCCGCCTGCTCATCCAGTTCCTCTTCCTGGTCCTTGACCTTGGCCTCCAGGTCCCGGAGCTGTTTCTTGACCTTGGCCAGAGAGGCTTCATCCTTGGACTCTTGGGAGGAAATGTCCTGGAGCTCAGCCTCCAGGGAGACGACCTTCTGGGTGAACCCTGCAATGTCCATGTCTTTCTCCTGGAGCAAAAGAGAAGCTGAGGCCGGTCCTGGGCCGACCTGGGCCTGCGAAGGGGACGGGGTGTGGATGGTGGGCAGCCCAACGCACCTCCAGCTGCTGTTTCAGGGTGAACGCCTCGGCGAGGAGCATGTCCTTCTCCCGCTGCAGCTTCTCCCGCTGCAGCTTCTCCCGCTGGGCCTCCTCGTGCGCCTGCGAGAGCTCGCTGTCAAACCTGTAGGGAGCATGGCCGTCGGCCCCATCAGACGAGGGAAGAGTCTGGGTCTCCAGCACCCAGAGGCCTCCGGGAAAGGACGCCGCAGGTACAGGTGGGATACAAGCGGAGGGGGTGCTCATGCAGCCTGAACTGTGGCTGGGGTGAGGTGACATTTCAGGGGTCAAGCCATCCAGGCCCTGCTCAGGAGCCTGGTCTGGGATTGGTGGGGCGGGGAGGCATTTCATCAAGCTGGTCCCAGGAGCCCTTTCACCAGGGGGGCCTATGAGGACCCACAGACTGTTCCTGGGGAGAGAACATCCTCTCCTCTGGCGTAAGTCTCGACCTTTTCCGTTTCAACAGATCAAGAATGAGGCCCCCGGGTGAGGGCAGCGAGGGTATCAAGATGGGTAGAAATGGACATCCCGCCGCCTCGTCTAACTCACTTTCCGCAGTTCAGTTTGGCTCCTGCCCCCACTTCTCCGCACTAGCCTTTGGCCAGGCCCACCCGCCCCAGCGGTGCGCATGCCGCCACCAGGACACCCCACCCTGGGCTGGAAGCCAGCAGCCCCACTGTGCCCGGCTGGCCCCAGGCTTCCATGGGCAAGTGCGCATCCATCCAGGGTTGGGGGCCTCTTTCTTCACACCTCCACTTCCCAGCCTTCCATTTCCTGCCCAGTGACTTTAACTAAGGAGGGAATGACTGAAATTCCTCTTAACACCTTCCCTGAATAGCTAATCAGGCTCCTGTCGAAAACTGAACAGCTCCTCCTACCCCAACACTGTATCAAAAAAAAAAAAAAAAAAGGTAAGAAAACTCCAGGCAGCTGAAACCTAATAAGTTGCCCAGTGGGGAGTGCAGAGTGCAGCAAGGCCTCACTGGCACTGCCACCGGGGTGCTCAGAAGGGGGTTCCCGCTAAGGGTGCCCGCCGCTAGGGAAAAGGGAGGGTGGGTGCAAAGATAAGAACTAGGGAAGCAGAGAGTCAGGGTGCTGTGAGGAAGAAATTTAGGACCTTGTTTCCTCTCACTCTCCACAAAGCAGCAGCCCAGCCAGGAGGCCGAGGGAAACCTGGGGTCACTGGAAGGTCGGGGCTCTGGGTTCTCACCTCCGGGGTGTGGGTGTGGGGCTGTCCCTTCCCTAGAGCCTCTGCTGAGAACCTCTCCCTGCAAAGGAGAGCGGGGTGCTGCTCCCACTCCCTGTGGGGCGCCCTGCTGTTCCCAGGGTGTGTGGTTCCTCGGCGTTGCTAATAAAGGCGTCCCGTTCCCATCCCCAGCCCGGGAAATTAATTTAGATTGGATTTTCTCCTGTGAGGGCTGCCCCCCTCCCTTGTGTCATTACCATAATGAGATGGAAGTGGCACGGTAGTTTAATGACATTAGTCAGGAGAGTGTGATTGTGTAGCTGAGGCAAGGGAGAGCTGGGGAGCGGGGTGGGCATGAGGGCCCTGGTGGAAAGATCCCTGCAGGGGGCCTGGCCGGTGTCTGTCCTTACGGGGCCCAGGCAGGGTGACAAGGACTCTGGGGGAGCATCTCCGAGAGCAGAGGCCTGAGCAGGCCTTCGGTGGGATGTGGTCTGAGTACTTCTCAGAGGTCAGGAGTAAGACCCATTCACATTCTAGACGAGTGACCATGCAGGCGAGGCCGCTGGCCAAATTCAGGCCCTTTCTTCTTCCCTCTGTGGAGGGAGAGGCAAGGAGTCCTGTCTGGGGCTGCTCTAGAAGGTCCTCTGAGCCCAGGGCAGGGGACCCACCCACCTCCTCTGCTTCTTCTCCAGCTCGTGGTTGCGGACCTGCTGGCCCTCCAGGTGCAGTTTGGTGTCCTGCAGCTCAGCCGTCAGCCGTTGGCACTTCTTCTTGAGCTGCTGCAGGGCCCGCTGGCTCTCATCACTATCTGCCTGCAGGTCCCCGAGCTAGCGGCCCAGATGGGTGCAGGGTCGTCAGCCATTGAGAGGCCCGGCAGTGTTGGAGAAGGTGAGGAGAAGGAGATGGATACGTGAAGGGGAAACCAGAGATGAGGGATGAAGTCAGGGACGTTCAGGAAACGAAGACACTCGAACAACAGTTTGCCCTTGGTGGTCCCCTGCACTGAGAGGCGGACACGCCAATCCTCTTCTATTGCTCCCAGGGTCGGCCTGCCTCTGGCCCTTCACTGGGCCAACATGTGGGACCGAGCCCCTCCCGGCCCTTCCAGGCCCAGGCCTCCACGGCTTCGGGCGGACTCACCCGCCTCTCCAGCTGCCTCTTGTTCTGCTGCTCCACCTCCAGCTTGTCCTCAAACTCCTGCTGGAGCCGCTTCTTGGTGAAGTCCACCTCCCGCACGGCTCGCTCATACTTCAGGCGCCACTCGCCACCTGTGGGGTTGGGGGGCAGACAGGGAGGCCTGAGTTTCTGAGAGTCCCCAAGAAAGGGCAGAGGGGAAGAAGAATGGGGCAGGGAGGGGCAGCAGGTGGAGTCAGCCAGAGGGACTCAGCAATGTCTCTGGAATGATGGCTTCGTCCCCAGGTGGGAGGAGCCAATAGCGGGGACTGCCAGACCTTGGCCCTCAAACACGGTCATTACCACGGTTATTGCGGCCCTCCAGGATAGTCCCCTGCATCTATTGGCACCTCCACTGTCCATTTATGTCACTATAGCAGTGGTTCTCAACCTGTGGGTCGCGACCCCTTTGGGGGTCGAACGACCCTTTCACAGGGGTCACCTAAGACCATCGGAAAACACATCTATAATTACATATTGTTTTTGTGATTAATCACGATGCTTTAATTATGTCCAATTTGTAACAATGAAAATACATCCTGCATATCAGATATTTACATGACGATTCATAACAGTAGCAACATTACAGTTATGAAGTAGCAACGAAAATAATTTTATGGTTGGGGTCACCACAACATGAGGAAGTGTACTAAAGGGTCGCGGCATTAGGAAGGTTGAGAACCACTGCCCTATAGCCTTATCACAGAGCTCTCCGAAGGGACCCGCCTGGACAAGGGGTGTGGTTACCCAGGGGTGGGCATCAGAGCTGCCGCTCAGGCCACGACCGAGCTGCTCCAGCCTCAGACCCACCTGCGTCATCATCGTCCACTTCCCCGTTGATCTCGGCTGCCCGGATGAGGCGGGCCTCCATCACCTCCATTTCCATCACCTCCATTTGCTTCTTCAGTGCGTCATACTGGGTCTGCAGAGAGGGGGTGAGGAGGTGTGCCATCCCATCCCCAACTCAGTACCCCCACGTCCCTGAACCACACAGACCACGGTCACATGCTTACCCAGGGCAGACAGAGGTGCTGGGCTAGTGGCAAAGATGCCACCTGTCCTTGGGGGGAGCCGATGGGCACTACAGTGTGGCAGCCGCTAGCATGGCTGTCTTCACCCCGGCCCTGCCCTCACCTGCAGCTCCTTCATCTCTTTCTCAGCTCGGAGCCTCTCCGCGGTCTCCGCGTCCAGCAGCTGGGAGGCGGACTCTCCCGTGTTACGTTCATCTGTCAGCTCCGATGTCAGCTCCGAGATCTGGGGGGGAGAAGGGGGGGGCAGAGGGAGATGCCACCAGTTACCAGTTGAACTGCCTGCCTCCTTCAGCCGGAACGCTGGGGAGGTGGGGGAGGGAGGCCTCCTAGGCCCAGCCGCCCTGTGGAGGTGAGCCAGTTTGCCTGGTGCTAGGAGTCACTCACCCGGGTCTCCAGCCGGTCACTGTTGAGCCGCAGCTCATTCCGCTCCTTCTCCACTTTCTCAAGCTTGCTCCGCAGCTGCTGGATCTCCTCCTAGGGCAGTGATGGCGAACCTTTTGAGCTCGGCGTGTCAGCATTTGGAAAAACCCTAACTTAACTCTGGTGCCGTGTCACATAGAGACATTTTTTGATATTTGCAACCATAGTAAAACAAAGACTTATCTTTTTGATATTTATTTTATATATTTAAATGCCATTTAACAAAGAAAAATCAACCAAAAAAATGAGTTCGTGTGTCACCTCTGACACGTGTGTCATAGGTTCGCCATCACTGTCCTAGGGGGCAGCTAGGACGGCAAAGTGAGCCAGAGGCGCTGCGAGAGGTGAGGCCCCGGGACCTGCACCCTTGGGGTGAACAAAGCTGGGAAAGCTTGGGGCCAGGACACGAGGAAACAGGAAGCCACTGCCTTCCAGGGGGGCCCACGATTTTATCCTATGAGGCTCCCAGGGGCTCAGCCAGCACCCCAGAGGGAGGCCTTCTGTTTGATGGGCCTACTTTAAGGACACCAGCTCTCTGGACTAAACAAAGAAGCACTTGGGAGCCCAAGAAAAGCTGGTAAGGCTCTTGCCCACGTGGACCAACTGGTCTTTTTCCTCCCGGTCACCTGGGCCTCCCGGGGCTGTTACGCACGTCTTTGTTCCGGATCTGCTCCTCGGACAGCTGCACCTCAATGAGGGGCCGCACGGTGGTAAAGAGCTTCCACCAGGGCCAGTCCTTCACCCCTTTGTTCTTCTTGATGTTCTTCTGCACACAGCGAATGGCCAGGTCCTGGATCTAAGTTGGGGTGGGGGTGGCGCACAGTGGGGCTCTCAGTACCAGGCCCAGCCTGGATCCTCCCCGCTGGGCTGCTGCTCTGGCCACCTAGCCTGGAGTCCAAACTCCCTCTGCTGCCCTTCGCCCCCAGCCTCCCTGCCTCCCTCAGAGAGTGGGCGACAGAGACTGGCCCTGGGAGCACGGCCCTGGGCACCGGCCACTCCGCCATCATTAGGAATATAATTCCATCTGCTTTATTTGCGGCCTGATTATTTCCAGCACCCTGGCCTGCAAACGCTATAAAACCTAATCTTGCTGAAACACAGAGGCGGCGGTGCTGGCTGTTTTATGGACTTGCTAATAAGAAAAGGAGTCGCTGACACAGCTCCTTAATCTTCATGGAGCAGCCTCTGATCCTCAGCCCACCTCTGTCTGGGCCCTGGGCCCCCACCCCACCCTAACTCTTGGACCAGGCCACATGGTCTCATCACTGAGCCCACCAGCACTCTCGCTGGCACCGAGGGACTGCCCTTTCCCCAGCCTGGCCCAGGGCATGGTGGCCCCCGGAGGCCCCTACATCTTCTCCCCAGATGGCAATAGCTCACAGCCCAAGACCAGCCTCCTGCCCCTCCATGTTCCCCCCTCGAGTCCCCCACCCCACGCCACCCCGGGAACTCAGCTCTGCCTGCGAGGCTGGGGAGTGGCACCTTTTTCTTCTTGAAGTGCTGCCGGGCCAGGTAGCCCCTGCAGGCCGCCTGGAACAGGGTCAGGTTCCTGCTGGTCTGTTCGTCCCGCTGCTCTTCTAGCCGTGCCAACGTGCCTGCCCGGAAGAACACCTGTGGAGAAGCGGGCCGGTGAAGGCAGGAGCCTGGGCGGGGCAGCCTGGCGAGGGAACCGGAAGCAGGCGCAGGAAACCAGCAGGCCTACCCGGCGACCCTGGGCCTGGGAAGAGCCTGAGAATCCAAGTGTCCAAGACAGGAGGGAAGGAGCAAGAAGAGGCCCCGGGAAGCGGAAAGACGAGGGCCAGGCTGGGGGCTGGGAGGTTTTAGAAGGGGAGGAGTAGGTGGGAAATCCAACTTCAAAGAGAGATGAAAGGAGATGGAGTCAAAGGAAGGTATCGGGATAAGGAAAATGGGGAGAGGACACCCCTCAGCCACATGCTCCTGCTGCCTTTGGCATCCAGCTGCCTGAGGCCAGGTGAGGTGGTGGTGGGGTCCGTGGGTAAGAAGAAGAAAAAGGCCCAGAAAGCAGTGTGCAGAGAAAGGGGGTGGGGAAGGGTAGGGGGCCCCTTCTCTGTACCCTCCCAGCTCAGTTTCTTTCATGTGCCAACACCCCACCCCCACCCACACACCCAGGTTTCATCTCCTGAAGAAGCCAGTGTGGTGGGCGGAGGTTGGCCCAGTCAAGGGACCTGTCATACAGGTTTGGGGGCTGGAGGGCAGATGTGAGAGGAACCAGCTGGGTGCCCCCACACCCAGCCTTTCCTTTCACTCTCTGGTGCCCTGAGCTGGAGCTGGGTAAATGTTTCCCTACGAAGAGAGGAAGAAGAGGGGGAGATGGTCAGGTGAGAAAAGGCTCTAGTCTCCTTAGAGAGGGCAGAGGGACAGGTATATGCCCACCTCCACCATGCTCAGGACACACACAGTTCCCTTCTGTGGGGCAAAGAGAAGACGTGAACTCCACTCCACGGGAAAGACTCAAAACCACTAGGTACAAGCTCCAGGCCTCCCTCAGGGGACCAGTGGGGAGAGGGCCTCCGCTTTCTGCTGAGAAAGCTTTGCCTCTGGCGACGCCGAGGAAACCTAGTCCCCTGAGGCTGGCCTGGGAGAAAGGCAGCTCCGTCTTCTATAACACTTTCCCCAACCCCACATGTGGGGCGGAACGCCTGGCCTCTCCCATGGGTCCCGGGTCCCACCTGAGCCTTGATTTCCCACAGCGTGTGAGCCTGCGACCCTGCCAGGGGCGAGGGAATATCCCAGCCCCCTGTGCCAGTGGGCGGCATGCACAGTTGTCTGATTAGGACAGCAGCAGTGAGGGGCCAGGTGGGGGACAGATAATGGCCCAGAAACACCTGAGAAGAAAAGGGATGGTCTAGCTAGTGGTTCTCAACCTTCCTAACGCCGCGACCCTTTAATACAGTTCCTCATGTTGTGGTGACCCCCAATTTCATGGTTACAAATTGAACATAATTAAAACATCGTGATTAATCACAAAAACAATGTGTAAGTATATATGTGTTTTCCGATGGTCTTAGGCGACCCCTGTGAAAGGGTCATTCGACCCCCAAAGGGGTCGCGACCCACAGGTTGAGAACCGCTGGTCTAGAGGCTAGGGCAGGGAGCCTCAAACCTGTCTTGAACAGCTGTGTATTTGTGAGGTAAGGAGTCCCTTTGAGTATTAGGTGAAATCTCAGGGCCATCTTCCCCCCAACATAGCCATCCATACAAATTTCACAAACAATAACCAGGGGTCCTCAGATCCCCCAACTCCTTGCCTAAACCCTCAAGGTCCTGTGGGCTCAGACGGAGACCCCTTCCCTCCTCCTTTGAAATGATATGACAAACAGGGAGTCCTGCTCACCACCCAGTGTTAACCACAGAAGTCCTAAACTTCTCTCCCAAACCAGATGTGAGCGAACATCTGCCGTTGCCCCTAATCCTGCCCCCTGGGGCGCGACTGCCTCACCCAGGCACGGGGACCATGCAGAGGGACTGGGATGGCAGCCGGGAGGAGGACCAGCCTGGGCAGGCCCTGTCCTGCCCACAACATGCCTTGGAGGAGGTGCCACCCCCATGCCAGCCAGTAGCAGCTCAGCCTGCCCAAGGGGCAGGAGCCCACCCAGGGAAGGACCAAGAGGCTGAAGTGAAATCGTTGACTGCAGGCTTCCCAGGGCAGAAGCTGAGCTGGCAGCCCCCAGCTGAGAGACAGTTGGGGAAGGGGAGAGGGAGGAGGTGAGCCAGACAGCTGAAATCAAAACCAGAAAAATGACACGGAAAGAGGGCGGGATACAGAAGACACAGAGGCCGAGGAAAGAAATAGAATAATAGAACCAGAAACTGAGGAACGGAGACCAGCAGGGACCGCAGGGCCAAAGGGAACGCCAAGGCCAGCAGAGACGCAGATACAGCGAGGGGCCTGGAAAGGGATTCCCAGGGAGGGAGGGGGCAGGAGGAACCAAGAACGTGGCTCCGAGTGCAGAACAGAGACAACAGGGTGGACAGACCATACTTGAGCTTTTTGTCGAGCCTCCGCTTCCACCTCCCTCTCCCCCTGAGGCCCTGGGACGGGAGCTCCTCCCTGTCTGCTGACAGACGCACAGGTCCACAACCCTCCGTCTGGCTCCCAACTCCGCTCCCTCCCACTACAGCCCTTGAGCACATACGTGGACGCTGCCGGTCAAGCCTCCCAGTCACGGGAAAGAGTGGCTCCCTGGCGCACGGGAGGAATGCTCAGCTGACCCTCTCGTGTGGTGAGGCGGCAGACTGGCACCCGGGCCGGGCGTGCCTGCCTTTTATGTGCTACGTTCCATTCAGATGAGGAATTCGGCCCGTGGGCAGGTGGTGGCAGCACAGCATTACCATGTCCTGCTTGCCCTCCTGGGACCCTGGCAGCCCCAAACGAGCTGCCAGAGGGGGCTCTGCCCTCCGGAGAACTCTGCCTACTGCCTTCCCGATTCTTCTAGCCCTCCTCCCTCCGGCTTGCCCACTCCTCACACCAAGACCCAGGGCAAGTTCAGGGCCACCCTCCAGCCCACTCCCTCCTGACATCACAAGGTGTTCACGGCAGTGAACAAGCCAGTTATTCAGAGGGAGGAAAATCAAGTTTGCGGCAGCTGGGATATCTAAATTCCTGGCCCCTCGCCCTAACGAGGGCAGCTTGAGAGGAAGGACGGCCCCAGAGTGGCTGGGGTGGTGGATAAGGGGACCTGGGGGGCAAGACTCAGAAGGGGCACCAGGAGATTCCTGGAGTAAGACTGAGCAGGGAGGGCAGTGGGGGAGGGCCAGCCATGTGGACAAGGGTGACCAGAGAGTGAGGCCCGACTGTCGCCTTCCTGTGGGGACAACTCACCCGGCTCAGGCCCATGCAGCAGCTACTCTTCTCCAAGTCCAAGGACTCCAGCAGCTCCTCCACCGCCTGCAGAGAGAGGGGTCTCTGTCATGAGCCGACCCAGGGACTCCCCATCCACAGAGGGCTCCACCCAGTCACTTAGTCCTTCCCTGTCCTCCACTCAGTCCCTCATTTGTGCACCAGGCACTTTCGGTGGCTCCCACAGGGTCAGGCATTTGCTAGATTCTGGGGCTATAAGGATACAAGCTATCTTTTGGGTGTTGTGAGACAAGTGAATTAGTGAAGTACATAGAGGAGGAGGCAGCTAAGTCAGCCAAGGGGGATCCTGGAGGGCTTCCTGGAGGAGGTGTGGATTGTACTGAGTCTTTAGATACAAGAATTAGCCAGGCAAAGTAGGTGAGAGGGCATTTCAGGCAGAGAGACTAGCATGAGCAAAGGCCCGGGAATAGAAGACAACAGAATGTGCTGAGAAAAGTAGTCAGCATACTTTGGAGTGAATTGGGAGGAGTTAGGGTACAATTAGGGAGGTGAGCAGTAGCCAAAATACTTGGAATTTGTGTGATTTGAGAGGTCCTGGAGGGTTCTCTCAGGAAGGACGTGATCTGATTTGCATTCTAAGGAGATATCACTGGTAGAAGGGCAGAGGATGAATGGAAACCCCCTTAGGCAGTTACCGCAATAATCTACAGGAGAGAAGGTTACATAGAGCCTGACCTAAAGGGGAGGGAGGGGGGGTAGATGCGGGAGATGTTAAGGAGATAGAGCCTTGCCAGGTATGAGGAAGGGTAGAGAGGAAGGAATCTAGGAACACACTGAAGTTTCTGACTTATGTAACGAAATAGACAATGGTGTCGTTTTCTAAGGTAGAGAATACAAGAGAAAGAGTGGGTTTTGGAGGCGATATAATCAGTTTGGTTTGAAATGCTGAGTTTGAGGTGCTATGGCACACCAGTGGAGAAGTCCAGAAATAAGCTGGATAAAAACGCACGTCTGGAGTTCAGGAGAGAGGCCTGGGCTAGAACTATTGATTTGGGAGTCATCAATATATATGTGGTAATTGAAGTGATGGGTGTGAATTAGGTTGCCCTGGAAGAGGATGCAGAATAGAAAACACATCTGGCCAAGGAGCATCTCAAAGGAGAGAGAGACCTTTATTTCAGGGGCAAGTGGAAGCAGGGAAGCTCAGAAGTTCTGAGAAGGAAAGAATAGAGAGACGAGGGAAAGCCAGGAGTGGCAGCAAACAGGCTGAGCAGAGATTTTCAAAAAGAACAGAGCTGTCCACAGAGTCACATGTTGCGGAGAAGCACAGAGAAGTGCCCGTTAGCTCTGGCAACGCGAAGTGCAGGAGGAGACAAGGCGACCAAGCCCAGGTGTCAGGGGTGGGAACCAGGTAGCTGTGGGTGGAGGAATGAATGGCGGTGGGGTGGGAGGACGCGGGAGGAGAGGAAGTGTTGAAGGCACAGGGCAGGCAGGAGACAGGCAACGGTCCGGCATGAGAGAGAGTTAACTGAAGGCTCCTTTCTGACAGCAACGTCTGTGGGATGTTTCTCCACTGAGAGAAGAGCCAGCAGGAGAGAGGCCGAAGGCACACGAGAGGAGAGTTACCACCAAGGGAGCAGGCCTCCAGGGAGACCACCGGAATGGGGTCCAAAGCACAGGAGGACGGGATTGGACGAGGGAGGGGTGCTTCTCCCACCCAGACAGGAGGAGGGAGGCCCCTGAAGAGCCGTGTACAGAAGACAGAGGAGGAAGTTGGAGCCTCGATTCTATGAGCGTTGAGAGGCCAGGTCAGCCGCTGGCCAGAAGACCTGGGGCGGCACGGTTGGGGAGTATTAGAGAACGGTGGAGGATGGAGAGTCAAGGAAGGAGCTTAGAATTGGGCCCGGGTAAGGATGGGGCACACGGAAAACTTGCCCGGCCAGGGGAGCAGGGCAGGTGCTAGGGGAGGCTCAGAAGAGCTGAGGACGGTGATGAAGGCTGTGACCAGAGGGTTAGACTGCGGCCTCGAGGCTGAGCGGAAAAGGAAGTAAAGAGAGAGGGGATGGACAGAGTAGAGAGAATGCGGTGGGATCCAGGAATGAGAGGTCTCAATGGACAGAGAGGAGTGAGAGCACAGGAGGGAGGCTGAAGTCAGAGAAGGCCAGGCTGGAATTTCAGAGGCGGAGCATTTCCAGGGCGGGCGAGGTGCTGGGCGTGGCCATGAGTGGGAGGCTGGAATGAAGGTGAGGAGTTAGGGGTTGTGGGGCAGGTCATCTACATTCACACCAAGACTGCTGAGGACCCTGGCAGGTCCTGAATGAGAGAAGGTTCTGGGGTCTCCACGAGTGTGGGTCTGTGTGTGACTCGGGACAAGGGGAGGGGGGCCTTCTGCCCGTTCTGTAGAGTACCCGCCCTTTCAGGGAAGCCATCCTGAGGTCAGACGCCCTCAGAGTTAGGCAGGGTGCCTCAGGGCAGAGCACAGTGAAGGAGGATTGCTCTGCTCAGGAGGGGGTCAAGGCGACAGCCTAGAATGGCAGGGGGACATCCCCTTCCGCAGCCAGGAATCACCCACCCGGGGTTGACAAGGGGCCCGGGAGGCCTGAGGCGCGCCCGTGCAGAGCTCCTCTGCAGGAACTAGTCCCAAGTGGAGGTCAAGGCTGAGGGGCCCAGGGGCTACCAGCGGCACACCAAAACATGAGCTCTCATCTGCACCTGGGGGTTCCTGAAGGATTGTCAGCAGACACCCCACCTCGGGCCTCCAAAGAGGGTGGCTCTTCTCAGATTCCTGCAGTCCATTCCCCAGGCTACCTTCTCTCTACTGACACAGGCTGGCTGCCGCCTGCCCCTGGCCTCATTCTGGATGGCCAGAACCAGGAGCCTGAGCAAGGGCCAATTCTCTCTAGGGAAGGAAGGGTAGCTGCTCAGAGGGCTCTGGGCTGAGAAAAGGGGATCTGGTGGGGGGTGCCTTGGGGCCCAGACCTACCCGCCTTTCATCCATGACGATGTAGTTGTGCCCGTGTTTCTTGGTCAGGTGTGGGGCCAGGACATCAAAGCGGCGGCGGAACTCGGAAAATACCATGTGGTCAGGGTAACCTAGAGAGAGCGCAGCCCAGGGCCAGGCCCATCAGCACCTCCCCTGCTCCCACACTCTCCAACAGCCACGGCGCCCAGGCACTGGCGGGGAGGGTCACCCGCCGGGGGAGGAGGGCCTGCGGTAGAGGCAGGCCCAGGAAAGGAGAGAGCGGAGAGGCAGGAGGCAGGGGCGAGGGACAGGAAGCCGAGAGGACATCTAGGGCTTACGGTGGCATTACAAGGTTTAAAAGGGGAACAGGTTCTTCTGGAAGGAAGCAGGTTCCCTGTCCGTGAGGGGTGCACATGGGGGATGGCTGACCACCTGGAAGGGATGCTATAAAAGCCAGATGGCCTCTAAGACGCTTTCCAGTCCTCCATTCCATGACTGTCATCACCCAGAGAGAACAATGTCTTGAGGACTTAATAAGAAGAAAAAAAAATAAAAATAGGGCATTGGACAGTAGCCGAGGGAAACAGCACATGAGCTTGGGGGTGGAACCTGGCCCTGGCTCCTGGTATCACGTGACCTTAGATGGGTCACTAGGCCTCTCTGAGCCCCGGTTTCCCGATCTTTAAGTGGGGGCCCTACCACGTATCTTGCATGGTAGTCATTTAATTAGAAAATATGTAGAAAGCTTGACTCACTTGGTGGCTCCTTTCCTCAGTCTATGGAAGCAGGACGTGGGAAAGGGCTCCCTTCCTACCCCCATCTTGGCCTTGAGTCCTAGGCCAGTGGTCGGCAAACTGCGGCTCGCGAGCCACATGCGGCTCTTCGGCCCCTTGAGTGTGGCTCTTCCACAAAATGCCGACTTCTGCGCATGGGCTATGAAGTTACAATCGTATTGTTTGTTCTTCCCTCCACTTGGTATTGTGTGGGAAAAGCCACACTCAAGGGGCCAAAGAGCCGCATGTGGCTCGCGAGCCGCAGTTTGCCGACTACTGTCTAGGCTATGTGACCCAAAGAGACTGTAGACGCTCTTTCCCCTAAAGAGTCTGACCTCTCACAGAGATGCCCTTACTGCCTGGGCCTGCGGTCAGGGCAAGGGTGAGATGGCTTCCGGTTTGGAGCAAGGAAAGGATGGTGGCCGGCGGGAGGTTACCCGGTCTCACCCGAGGAGGCCAGAGCCCACAGTGGAGGACCAAGAAACCAACTTCTGCAGAATCATGGCCTTTCAAACTGGAAAAAGGTGTTAAACCAGACACAGCTCATCTTCCAGACACGGAAACTGAGGCCTGAGAGGCGGACCGACTGACTGCTCAAGATCACAAAGGCTGCGGCTGGAGGCAGAGCTGGACTCGGAGTCCAAACTCCGACAGCCGGTCGGGGGCTCTCTCCACCGTGCCGGCCTCGCTGGCTCTGGGAAAGCCTCCAACTGGGAGATGAGGCTGATGCATGTGCCTGATAATTGAAACAGGAGGCGGGGGCCGCGGAGGGGCCAAGACAAAGTGAGCTATTGATTGTATCTGAACTGCAATTAAATTGATGGGCCGGGATAGCAGGTCCGAACGCCAGGCATCTTAATTAATCATCAGCGCTATCGATGGTGGCTGGGGGCTGAGTGAAGGGGGGCCCTGCTGCTGCTGGCCTCATCGATCTGCTTGTTTGAGTAAAGCACATTGATTTTTGTTCAGAGCGGTAACAATCTGGTTTTGAAATAATAAACACCAACTCCATATCAAGACGTGGGGACAGATCGATGATTTATTTGGAGCAGAGCAGGGAGCCCGTTTCCTGGCTTGGCTGCTGAGGAAAAGTGGCGGTGTCCACGGGGAGGCCTCGAGGGGACCTGGCTGTGGGTGGGCGGGACCCTGCCTGCTCCTCTCGCTGAGGGAAACGGGCACAAACCTGGCCATTCCTAACTTCTCAGACAAGCAAAACCCTACTTGAGAGGCATGAACTGGGAAGCTGGTCTGCCTGGGTCAAATCCCACTTTGCCACTCACGAGCTGTGTGATGTTGGGCAAGCTCCTTAACCTCTCTGAGCGTCAGTCTCCTCATCTGGGGATGGTCACAGTACCTACATGTCATGAGGTAGTCCAGCTCTGCCTCCACACATTAAGTGAGTCAATGTGTGTGATGACTTTGGAATAGTGCCTGGTACTCCGTAAATGCTCTACGGATGTCAACTATGACTAGCACCTCATTTCTCACTGCGGGGCTAACCCAGCCACCGGCCTGCTCTTGGAGGTTGGTACCTCCACTGGGCAGATGGTTCCATGAGGGCATCTGCTGCTGTGGGCAGAAGTGACCATCCAAACCAGTGAAGGGGAAAGGATGGAGCTCTGGATACAAGGCATGTGGGGTAGGGGGGCAGGGAGGTGAAGAAGACAGGAATATGGAAGGGAGAGGCAGAAGAGAGGAGTCAGCAGAGTGGAAAGAAAGAGAAGGGAGCACGCTGGGCTGGAAGATGAGACAAGATCCCACAGAGGAGGCACCGGGGCAGAAAAGAGATCAAGGGCTGGTTGGAGACCGGAGGGGAGCAGCACCCTCTTTGGCCCATGGTCCCCCTTTGAGAGATGGGGAGGGACAGAGGCAGGTCCAGAAAAGGGAGGTTGAGAGCAAAGGAGGCCCTACCTTGGCGGTACATGCGCATGGCATCGAGCAGGCGGGAGCCGCGAAGCTGGGCGCGGAGCAGGGGCACGTCCAGCTGCAGGAGCCCAGCCTCGCAGTGGTCCCCTGAAGGCAGGTCCAGCTCGCTGCTGCTGCTGACTCGGCGGGAGGAGGCGGCCCGGGGCTCCCCGGCCCAGCCCTCTGCCACAGGCAGGAAGCAGTGCACGAAGTGCAGCTTCGACTTCTTGATGGTGTCGATGAGGGCGTCCTGCCAAAGGGGAAGGGATGGCCCTCAGGGAACTGGTGCCAGCATCTCCACTGCTTGCAGGCTGGCAGGTGCCCCACCACTGCCGAGGACATGCCAAGTCTGATAAGTCTGCCTTCACAGATCTGAGTGACCGCCCTCGCTGGTTTGGCTCAGTGGATAGAGCGCCGGCCCTCAGACTGAAGGGTCTGGGGTTCAATTCCGGTCAAGGGCATGTGCCCGGGTTGTGGGCTCAATCCCCAGTGTGGGGCGTGCAGGAGGCAGCCGATCCATGATTCTCTCTCAATATTGATGTTTCTCTCTCTCTCTGGCACTCCCTCCCTCTCTGACATCAATAAAAATATTTAAAACAACAACAGCCCTAACCGGTTTGGCTCAATGGATAGAGCGTCGGCCTGTGGACTCAAGGGACCCAGGTTCGATTCTGGTCAAGGGCATGTACCTTGGTTGCGGGCACATCCCCAGTAGGGGGTGTGCAGGAGGCAGCTGATCGATGTTTCTCTCTCATTGATGTTTCTAACTCTCTATCCCTCTCCCTTCCTCTCTGTAAAAAATCAATAAAATATATTAAAACAACAACAACAACAAAAACAGGTCTGAGTTGCCACTCAGGCAACCGCACTGAAAAAGGGGACCCCACCAGCATCGATCAAGTCAAAGTGGGACGCAGAGTGGGCACTGGGTGACTTGAGTGTGCCCAGAACGCCCAGGCTACCTGCCGGGGTGAGCAGGGGCACCGGGGCCGGGGCTGGCAGACTCACCACCTGCAGCTTAATCTGGATGCACAGTGACTTCTTCTTGACCGCCGCCATGCCCATGGTGAAGGTCTTCCGCATGCTGGTGGCCCGGCGCAGCGCCAGCTGCGAGCCTCCCTCCAGGCCCGCGATGGAGCCCGAGAGCACCGTGGCGCCGCCCGCCCGGCCCAGAAACAGGTTGCTGATGATTTTCCTGCCAGAGGAGGGAGGGCAAAGGAGGGGAAGAAGTCACATTCACAGAGCAGTAGAGGCCATTCCTGCTCTGAGCTCCTAGGAAGCCAGACAACCCCCATGGCCAGGGGCCTGGCCTACCCGGGCTAGGGCTGTGTGCCCCACCCCCTACAGAGACACTGTAGAGAAATCTCTGAATAGTGAGAAGACAAAACCAGGGTGGGCAGCAGCCGAGGGAGGGGCAGCCAGGGACTGGACAGAGCGGGCGATCTGTTCTCTGTCGCTAGGCAGGGCAGAGCGGGGAAACAGTGCCCATGAAGCAGGAGATAGTGGAGCCCATCTTCTAACAGAAGATATAATCTATTACGTCTACTGTGTCATTCCCACTAGAATGTAAACTCCATAAGGGCAGGGATTTGTATCTTATTCAGTCACAGAGAAGGTGCCAATAATTATCTGCTAAATAAATGAATGGATGACAAGGATTATACACCTGAGAGGTTTCTAAGGCTATGCCTGCCTTTTGTGAAGAATGCAGGGGTGTTAGTCAAATCTAAAATTATACCCCCCCCCCCGCAAAAAAAAAAAAAAGTAAATAAATAAATAAGCCCGACTGGTGCGGCTCAATGAACATCGACCCATGAACCAGGAGCTCACGTTTCGATTCCCGGTCAGGGCACTCTCTCCAGTAGGGAGCGTGCAGGAGCAGCTGATCAATGATTCTCTCATCATTGATGTTTCTATCTCTCTCTCCCTCTCCCTTCCTCTCTAAAACCATAAAAATATCTTTAAAATACACACAAAAAAACCCAAAAATATCTATAGGTCCCTCCAACCGTGTCTGTCCCCACCTCTACTCCAGGAGCCCACCCCCAAGCTCTCAACTAGCCTTGGCTATTGCCTCTTAGGAAGCAGAGTATCTACCCTGCTAGAGAGGGAGGCCTCTGACCAGGGGGCCCAAAACAGCCTTTGGGGGTGGGACAGGGGCAGAGTGAGTGGTACCCTTACTTCTGGGAGTCCTGCAGGAGCCGGGGGGCATTCTGGGTAGCCGGGTTCTGCTTGGTGTAGCTCAGCCAGCCAGCCACATTGTACTCCACCCAGTTGGTGCCATGGCTGTGGCCCAGGAGAAAATGGCGTGGTTTGCTGCTGCGCAGGAGGGGGCTTTGGCCTGAGGGTGGGAGATGCAAGGTTCAGACCATCAGGGCACCGGCTCCACAAAGCCCAGGGACTCAGTGAGCCCCTAGGCAGTGCCACCTGGACCCACATAGGGGGGTCCCCTGGAGAGGAAGTAGAGGAGCGGCCCTCCAGGGGTGCCACCTACCTTTTTTGTCACCTTCCTGGGGGCCATAGTAGGAGAAAAGGCGCTCCAGGAGGGCATCCTCAGTGGCCCCCGGCACCAGGGCCTCCTCCTCCAACAGCCACAGCAGGCCCCTGGCCTCGTCTGTGCGGGCCAGTGAGCGGACCTGTGGAGAAGCAAAGAAATCCCACTGTGCCACATGGAGCCCAGTCCCTAACCACGCACGATCAATATGCTGCACACGTACACACGTACACACGCACACCGCATACACACAGCAGCAGCTCCCGCCCCTCACTGCTGACACCTTGTGGAGCAGGTGGGCAGAGAGGGAAAAGAGGAGGCCAGAAAGAGATGAGAGGAAGAAGCCCACGGCAAAATATGACTCCCAGGACTCGTGTCCAAAGTCACCAAAGACTGAAGGCTTCTTACACCCAGAGGCTCCCCTCCATCCTCATCCTCTCGAAGGTCACATGGGGTTTGCGAGAGCCTCATGCTGCAGTCACTCCCTGGGCATCACCTCTGAGCATAGCGCGTGGCCTAAAGGAAGCTGTCAGTAAGTGACAGCTGTGGGGCTCACCTGAGAGAGGCGCACCCAGGGCACTGCAGGTGGGGTCATTGCAGAGTCATAAACTCAAGTGTGAAGAGCATAAGACAAGTGACTTAGTGGCTGTGAAAGCCCAAATGGGCAGATGGAGGCTGGCTGGAGACCAGGTGTCCCCATCGAAAGGAAACAGCCACCCCTCAGCGGCAGCCAACTGCTGTCCTGCAAGAATGTTGGCCTAGTATTGGTAAATACCCAGTTTTTCCAGAGAAGGTGGAAATACTGAATTCTGATTTCTAATGCCCCATGTAAGCCAAACCAACTATATCTGTGGCCACATCTGGTCTGACGGCATCTTTTCAATGGAGTTTCCAAGTCTTCCTCAAGGAAGAAGGACTGAACTTTCCCCACACCCATTCGGCCTGGCCTTTAGGGACTGGGGGACAAGAGAACGAAGAGAAATGCCATTTCCCTCCTGGACCCCAGCTGCCTACCTCTCCTCCCTGAAGCTGCCCAAGGGAGTCAGTGTGATTACCAGGAGGTGACCAAGGACTGATGAGCAACTACAGTCCCAGAGTGGCCAGAGCTGCCAGCAGGAATGAGCAATGAAGTCATCAGATGGTGAGGGGCCGGCTGGGCACTGAGGGGCCCTCATCCCCAGGGGTGCAACCGCCCGATGCCAAGGCCCATCAGATAGGAAAAGCAAAGAAGGGAAAGAATGGCCAACCCCCATCCAAATACACTGCCTGACCCACTGCTGCTCCTAAGCCACACACACTGACTTCCTCATACTGGTGGCAATGGCAAAGGTACTGGAGGGAGGCCACCTCGGGAGCCCAGGTATCAGGGGGAAAGCCGCTTCCCTGGGGAGATGTGAACCTTGGACACTTCAGGCATTTGTCCCGGGGGGACATTCACTCTCTCCGAGCTCCGCTCCCTTGCTAGCCAACGGGGGCCTTCCCACAAGGAAGAAGGAGAGGGAGACAGGACTCGAAGCCGAGGAGGGAGAGCAGCAAGCCTAGCAAAAATGTCGGTTCTCCAGTAAAACGCCTCAGGTGACTTCCCTAATTGGAGATCATCACCAAATGCCAAGTGCACTTCAGGCCAGCCAGTCCCCAGGCAATAAGGTGTCCAAGACACTAGTCCCAAGGGTGACAGAGCCCACCCGTCCCAAGGGGTGGGGGAGCTCATATCCACATGGCCCTCAGTGGGCGTCTATAGCTGGGCGCTATTTCCCTGTTTGGGTGCAATGCTGCCTCTTCACCCCACTCTGCCAGGCGCACCAGTCTTCTTCTTGGGGACAATGGGAGGGAATGACTATGTCCTTTGGGTCCAGCCAGGCCCTCGCCACCTAGGAGGACCTGAGGCTCAGCCAGTCACAGGACAGGGCCTAAGCCCGGCTGGTGAGAGAGGACGTACACCTTCCTGTCTGGCTCAGACACCCAGGGGCTGAGGCCCCCCATTACACCAGGGCAGAAGAAAGTGCCACCGTCCAGGCCAAACTGGCTGAGGGGTGAGGGAGGGGCAGGGACCAGAGCTCTAAAGTGCTTGGTGTCTGGGCCTGATTGCTGCCCCCTCCCCCCGCCTCAGCACCCAGGGGCACCGCTGGCAACAGTTCATACAGGGAGGGTCCTGCTGAGGAAGAGGAATAGGAAAGGAGAGAGGAGACCGGCCCAGGGCCTCGCTGGAACTCCTACCAGGGACTGATGGGAGGCTTGGTCCACGGCAGAAACAGAATCGTCCGTGGCCGGCTCCAAGTCGTCAAACGCCACCTCGATGTTCTCCTGGGAAGGAAGGCAGAGCGTAGTGAGCACCGGGCCACGGGTGGGCGCAGCTCTATGAGCAGGCGAGGCGGTCAGCAAGTCTGACCTCCTGTCCCACGCAGGAGCGCCCCTCTAGCAGCCCGAGTGACCACGCTCACTACCTCCCAAGGCACCTCGTGCCCCGGGCAACTAAAACTCTTCTAACCTCCTTTCACACTGAGCTAGAGTCACCGATTTCCGTTATGCACACCCACTGAGTAGACTGTGAGGAGTAAGCCTTCCAGTTTCACACTCGTCCTTGAGACACTTGAAGACAACTGTCATTTTCCTCCTGAATCTTCTCTGATCCCCAATAAATATCCTCCCCAGGATCAAGATCCCTCACCTCCACATGAGGGAGGATTTCTAGATCTCATCTCATCCAGGACCCCCTTTTGTGAAGGGGCCCCCAAAGGATCAATCACCGTCTTAACAGGTCAGGAGACAGGGAGGGCCAGGCCCGACGCCCAGTGGCGATCGCAGGGCTTAGGTGGCGCCTCAAAGGTGGGCGAGAAAGGGCTCCTGGGACCCTGAATGCATCTTTAGTTCTTGGGGAGCAAACTCCACAAAGTAAGAATGTAGCCTGGGCAGGAAACGAGGCCCAGTGCAGAGAGCACCGGTGGGCAGAAATGACAAGAGCATAGAAGCTGGGAAGGAGCCGCCAGCGGGGAAGGTGGTTCGTCCCCTCACCCACAGATGCCCGCCCTGAGGGGCCTTTGCCAGAGGGTGAGGCTTGGGGGGATGGGGCAGGCCGAGCCCAGGTCGAGCACTACCTCCTTGTATCTTTCCAGCTCCTGCACAAAGGTGCGCTCGTGGAAGAGCCCCTGCAGCCGGTCCTGGGCGTAGTTGTGGCACAGCTCCTCAAAGGAGGCTCCTCGGGCCGCCCCGCCCTGCTCAGGGTTCTGGAAGCCCGGAGTATCCACAATCATCATAGAGCAGAGGGAGTGCTGGCTGGACTTGAGAGCCCTTCACAGGGAGAGGCTGGGTCAGCGCTGGCGAGGGCAGGACCCCTGAACAGGCCCCACCGGCAGCCCAGCCCTGCCCCAAGCAAGCTCCCATCCGTCCCTGTGCGGGTGCCCAACACCCCGGTGGGGAGGATGTGCCTCCCTTGGCCTGGAACAGTGATGGCGAACCTTTAGAGCTCAGCGTGTCAGCATTTTGAAAAACCCTAACTTAACTCTGGTGCCGTGTCACATAGAGAAATTTTTTGATATTTGCAACCATAGTAAAACAAAGATTTATATTTTTGATATTTATTTTATATATTTAAATGCCATTTAAAAAAGAAAAATCAACCCAAAAAATGAGTTTGCGTGTCACCTCTGACCCGCGTGTCATAGGTTCGCCATCACTGGCCTGTAAGGACACGGAGCCATCTGCTGGTGGAGCATGGCTCTGCCTTGGCAATCACACAGCACAGAGGCTTCTAGTCCATCTTGGTCAAGGCAGGAGGCCCGTGAGCTCCTGGGCCCTCCCGCTTGGCACTCACCTGTTCACCAGAGAGACAAGAAGCGTGAAGAGCTCGCTGTAGAGGCCGGACGCCATGCCCTCTAAGCACTCCAGCGCACTCAGTTTGGGGCCTGTGGGGCAAGAGGATCAGACGTGTCTCCTGCTCCCGGGGATCCCCACCTGGGTATGCTCCCTCCCTACCCAGGGCCAGGTCAGCAGGGGTCTTGGGGCTTCCTTCCCCCCTGATGGACGTTCTAGTCACCCAGCAGTCTCCCCATGGCAGAGAGAGCAGCGAGCCCTGGATGAAGCCTCCCAATGACATTCACCAGCCAAGGGGCTCAGGGTACCTGTCCCATCTCCCAGGCCGCTCTCCTCGGGGCCCTGGCGGAAGGAGGTGGAGCGCTGCAGGGTGCCACCCTTGTACTGGTGCTTAAAGATGGACGAGGAGAGCTCCTCCAGGCTGCAGCCCAACAGGTACGCGGCCTTCTGGGCCCACTCGTGGCGGGCAAACTGCTTGCGCCCAGCTACGGGGTAGAAAGAACCATCTGGTACCTTGGGTCTTCCTCCTGAGGCCATTTGATGCCCTTTGGCTCCCTGTTCCCATTGGACTGGGGAGTAGGCATCTTCCAGAGGCAAAACCAGCCCAGATGACACCAGGGGGCTTCAGGCAAAACAAGGACAGCCAGCAACTGCCAGCTTCCTGTGCCCCTGGGGGACAGAGAATGAGCAGGTCCTAAAAGAGGAGGCAATACACACTGCTGCCACCAGAGGGCATCCTGTCAGCTTTCAACATCCTTTTAGGGCTTGGCTCCCGGGTACCAACTGGGGGAAATGCAGTCAGAGGATGAGCCAGCGCCCACCTACGATGAGCACCGAGATCCACCTGTGCCTCGGGGGGCAGGTCCGGAGGGAGTACAACGCTTTCCCTTCCATGAACGCATCAGGACCCTCCCTCTTACCTCCAGGCATCTGCCAGGGGAGACCACGCACACCCACCCATGGCCCAGCAGTGGGGACATGAGGAAGCCTCAGAGGAAGAAAGAAAGCAGCCCACGCAGACAGAAGTGCCTCAGCCAACATGTGTCTAATCACGGCAATTAGGGAAAGCTAACAAGAAACAAGGTTTTACCTTCAGCAGCTTCTGTAAGGCAAAGGACCAGCATGCAGCATGCAAAGAAAAACAGCATGTTAGCAAACAGTCATCAACGGAGCCCGCCAGGCCCACGGGGAGGGGTGGTGGAGGGTGGGGGTTTGTGAGGACGAGCAGGCAGGAAAACACAACCACGTTCAGGCTCGGGGACACAAACACACGCACGCACTCACAATCTCACAGGAGGATGTAATCGCCCTGACACACAAGAACCTCCAAAGACAGACAGACAGACACACACACACACACACACACACACACACACACACACACTTCTCTTTCCCCTCAGCCTCCAGGGCCCCAATCCCCCTGGAAGCTCTGAGGAGGTAACAGACCCTGCTCACAAGGCAGGTCCATGTGCTGCACACCCAGAGCTCTCTCTCCACCTGCAGGCAGCCCTGAGTAGGGTTGGTTACAGGAAACCCGGGTTTGTCACCTCCTCAGAATGAAGGAACTTCCTTAAGACACAGCCAGCCACCCACCCGCCCGGCCGCCTACGGTTTGGGGAATAACTTCTTTAAAACGGAGCCTGCTTCCTTTTTGGTGGAGATGCCACCTGCTGGGATCATAAGGAGCCTAACATCCAGACGCCGGTTCTTCCGTGTATCCACCCACCCACCCCCCAGTGCTTCCTCGCTCCTGCTGAGCAGCCTGCAGCCCTTCACATCCCGAAGGAAGATGAAGCCAAAGCCCCGGGTGCTAGGAGAGGCTCCCCTTTCCCTAAACTGGAGGAGAAAGAGGTGAAGAGGTGCTCAGAGTGCCCGCCCATCAGCGTCATCTCAGAGGAAGGCAGCGGAGTTTCCAAGCCAGGCCAACCTCTAGCCCAGTGATGGCGAACCTATGACACGCGTGTCAGAGGTGACACTCGAACTCATTTTTTTGGTTGATTTTTCTTTGTTAAATGGCATTTAAATATATAAAATAAATATCAAAAATATAAGTCTTTGTTTTACTATGGTTGCAAATATCAAAAAATTTCTATATGTGACACGGCACCAGAGTTAAGTTAGGGTTTTTCAAAATGCTGACACACCGAGCTCAAAAGGTTCGCCATCACTGCTCTAGCCATTCACAAGCCCCCAGCACAAGTGCCGAAATTGCAGCCCATTGGTTACCACGGTGCTTGCTGCCCCCTAGTGGCCTTCACCCTGACATGCAAGAGGAAGAAACCTGCTACCAAACCCGTGGAGAGAAGGGTGGACTCCGGGAAAACTGGCCTTAGGAAACCCCCGGAAGCAGGCCCACCCTACCCCACCTGAGCCCAACAAGGGCATCGGGAGAGGTTCCAGGGTCTGGATGCAAAACAGATAGGAGCAGCTATTTTGGGGACTCCCAGAAGCCCACCGCCAGCAGCTGCCCTCGCCACCTCAACCCAGAGGTTTCTCCCAGGCCAGTCCCCTCATTACAACAGAACAAGCCCAGCCCCCAGAGAGAGCCCCGGGCAAGCACCAAGAGGGGGCCAGGTGGCCCCACACCCCAGGGAGGGGCCAAGGTCAGTTACCCTCTTGCTCCTCAGGGGCCTCTGTCAGAAAGGGAACAAGAAGGAGAGTTATTCCAGGGGACTGCTCTGAGTCGGGGCCCTTCTCTTCCCCCTCGGCCTCCAAGCCCCAACCCCCTGCTTTCACAGAGCTCCCGCTCACGGCCACCTAAATCCAGGCCTCCAGCCACCATGGACCGAGCTGCTTCTCTGGGTGTCGGGAGCCTTCTGCTCTGATGTGGGGGGCTGGGAAGAGGCGCAGTGAAAGAGGGGTGTCTGATAACAGATGAGTCTGTGCTGGGCAAGGACAAACTGGGAGTGGGAGGGTCCCCCAAAGGTCTCTGGGCGACAAGTCAGATTGTGGGGACCCAGGGCAGATTACCTTTGGTGGCTCCTGCAGCCCCCAGGTGGTAGATGGCAGCCAGGATGAGCCAGCAGGCTTTCTGCTCATCGGGGGAGATGCCCAGCACCTTCATGGCCGCCTGTAGCTTACTGAACTGCTGAGCTGCCTTCTGCTTCTCCTCGGGCTACAGGGACAGAGGGGCATACTGGCACCGGATCTCAGAGGGGCTGCCCCCTCCCCCCGCAGCAGACCCCCATGCCCTCAGGGAGGGCAAGGCTAGGGGAGAGCCACCCAGCTGGAGCCGGGCTCCTGCTATCCCCACGGGCACTGCAATCCATTGGAGGCTTCTTCTTCTTGTTTTTAATCCTCCCCCCAGGACATGCTTATTGACTTTAGAGAAGGGAAGAGAGAGACAGAAACATCGATTGCCTTTCCATACTCGCCCTGAACTGAACCAGGAACCTTTCGGTGTAAAGGAGGGACAACACTCAACCAGCTGAGCCACGCCGGCTAGGCCTTTGAGGCTTCTTTTACCCCCAACGCCCAGGGCTGTCAACCCAGTCCCCACAGGCCCCTTCACCTTGGCCAGTGGCACAATCCCGAACACATTGTTCTCTGCCAAGTGGTTCAAGTGGAGCTCTGTCCTAGGGGTACAAATGAGGCATCAGCACAGTGCGTGGTCCCGATGCCAAGGCCATCTCCCCACCAGCGTGGAGACAGACAGACTCAGCTTCCAGACTCAGTTCTGTCGGCTCCTCACGCCCTGCAGTCAGGCCAGCTGCTACCGCCTTTCTTCATCGGCTGGATGCCCGGTCAGGGTACCAGTCTCCCCAGCACAGGTCACCAGAGATGCCCTGGTGCAGAGTGTCAAGCCAGACCCCTGGGAGGGGGCAGGAAACCTGCCTGAAGGCGATTCCAGCAGGACAGGGACTGTGCCCTCGGTTACAAGAAGAGCTAAAGAGGAAGTGCCCACGGGCTGCGGCTCAGCCTCATCATTTATCCTCTCGTCAGTGAACACCGACAGCAAGTCCGAAGGCCTTCAGGGAAGCGCCTGGCCGAGGAGCCAACGTGGGGCAGGAGGGCCAGCTTAGAGGGAGGGCACTGGGAAGGGGTGAGGCTCTTGGCCCCCGTGTGGACCGGCTCAGCCCCCTACTAGCTGTGTGACTGCAGGCCAGTTCCTGACGGCCTGAACCTCAGGGTGCTTTCTCGCTGGGTCTGGCTTAGCAGAGATCCTAGCTAAGCTCCGGGAACACCGAAGGGTTAACTGTGCCTCTCACACATAACCAGACCCCTGTGCCCAGGCAAAGGGAGCTCCTGCCGGGTGGGGCCTCGGCTCATTCATCTTGTCATCCCCAGGGCCTGGCAATACGCCGACGGGACGGGATGCAACCGAGAGGCAAGGTCTAGGACAGCCGTGGGCAAACTACGGCCCGCGGGCCGGATCCAGCCCGTTTGAAATGAATAAAACTAAAAAAAAAAAGACCGTACCCTTTTATGTAATGATGTTTACTTTGAATTTATATTAGTTCACACAAACACTCCATCCATGCTTTTGTTCCGGCCCTCCGGTCCAGTTTAGGAACCCATTGTGGCCCTCGAGTCAAAAAGTTTGCCCACCCCTGGTCTAGGAACTCTCAGGGGGCTGGAGCCCAAAGCTCCCTCCCGTCCCCTCTGTCCCATCTCACCTGAGGGTGCCATCCCCACAGGCCAGCAGGTAGTAGAAGACATTGAATGTGGCCTCGCTGGCCGGGCGCCGAGCCACGCGCAGTTTCTCCAGAAGCATCGTCTGTGCGCAGCATGAAGGGTGTGGGCAAAGGAGAGAAGTGCCACGAAAAGCTTCTCCCACCCCACGGCAGAGAGGACCGGGCCCACGGAGCCAGCGGCCGCTGGTTAATCTCCAGGTGCCCGACCAGAGGCCAGAGCACCCATGGGGCAAACCCGGGCAGAAACCAGTGTGTGTGTGTCGGGGTGGGGGGTTGGGAGGAAGGGGAGACAGGCCCAGCTCACGGGAAGACATTGCCACTCTGCCTACTTCCTCAGCACAGCCTTTGAGGGAAGCTGGACACGTTGTGGTGAGAGATTTCATTTAGCAAGGAAGGGGCCTACCTTTACTGACAAGCCAGTCTTCCCTGGGTGAAACCACCCGAGAGAAGGCCCTGAGCACGGGGCGGGGCTTGGGCAGGAAGCCGAGCTGGGCCCCACCCAGGGCAGCAGGCACAGGGAACAGAATGGGGGAGGCGTGGGCAGAGCAGGCCAGCCCCAGGGCCAGGGTCCGTTTTGCTGGGGTCGAATCCCAGGAAAATGGGACACAGGGGAGAGCCTGATTCCTAGGGCATGAAACCGGGTGGCCAATCGCCTACCACCCTGAGTGTCCCCTCACCTGGATGGAGGCCGAGGCCACCTGGCCAGCTTGGTCAAAGTCCAGGGAGAGGATCTGGGAGAAGCGGGTGGCATTGCCGTTCATGATGGTGGGGCTGTTCCCGAAGGCTTCCAGGAGGGTGTACAGAGCCTGCCACTTGTCCACTGGAGAAGAGAGGCCCAGGGGCCGTCAGGAGAGCCGGGGCACGGAGAGGCCAGGAGAAAAACGCGGGGACCTAGCAGGGGCCTCCGTCCCCACCCTCTCTCCCAAGCCCACTCTCAGTCCCTCAGTTGCCCCTGCCTCACCAGAAAACACCTTGTTCCCGCCGGTGCCTGCGATGGTGGCCAGGTACTGCACCAGGTGCTGGCAGCTGGTGGTCTTGCCACTGCCACTGCTGCCCAGGAGGATGATGGACTGGTCCTGGCGGCTCATCAGCATTGCCCTGTACGCCGTCTGGGCCACGGCATAGATGTGGGGTGCCATGTCCTCCCGCCGACACCCCTTGAACATGTGCATCACCTTGGGCAGGAGAGGGGTGGGGAGGATGGACAGGCTCTTAGCTGGTCCTCTCAGACACCCCTCGCCCCCAAGGTCCACATCTCTCTGGGCCTTTCACTCCAGGGAAGCAGAGGGATCCCGAGGCGAAGGCCAGGCATGGAAATGCAGATCCTCGCCACGTTCCGGCCTCCGTTAGAGGTTGGGGAAGGGCTTTCTGTCCTCACCCCTTGAAATGACACCTCCTCCCAAGGTCAACTGAGAGAGTGGACAAGGCCCAGTGGGATGCCAAGGGGAAGGGGCAGAGCCCGAAAAGGTGGGGTCGGTAGTGGCTGGGTGGGTCCGTGAGGCAACACAGTGTTTCAGGGGGCATCGCACCTTCTCGGAGTACACAGCGGGGGCCCCCCGGGGGCTGAGGACCAGCAGGCTGGGGCCGGCGTACGTGTGCAGCAGGCTAGCGCCGTAGCGCTGGCGCAGTGTGTGCACCACGCTGGACTCATTGAGGTACACCAGCGAGGCCAGGTCTTCCAGACGGTCGCAGGAGGGGGCGTTGGCCTGTGTGAAGGGACAGGCGGGAGGGCACTGAAGGAGCCGAACCAGCCTGCACTGCCAGCGGACAGGCCTGCCCTGCTCAGCCCACCTCCTGTGCCCTCCACCAGCCTCCTGCCAACCTTCTCCACGTCGTCCTCATCCACATCCAGGATGGCTCCATCGTGGTCTAGCTTCACGCGCACCTTCCCCTCGGGCAAGCTGAGCTCCTGGGATTTGAGCTGACTGGCTGCAGAGCGGCGCAGACAGTCAGGCGTGGGTCTGGGAAGGCTTGGCTACCCTCTTTGGGCCCTTTATGGTCCTGCCTCCTCCTCCCCACGGTATCACCGGCCTCTCCTTGCTCACCACCCAGCCCTTTCCAGATGCAGAAAGCACCCCAGCCCTGAAACCCAAGAGGCCCGGGCACCTGCCCCTGGGCGCCCCCAGGCTCACCCAGAGAGAAGCCATCCTTATGGACCAGCCACACCTTCTCTGTCTCGTGCCAGGCCTCCTCCGCTGCAATCTGCTCTTCTGTCTTCACCTGGCAGAGGGAGGGGAAGGGTACATAGTCAGACTCTGTTCTGGAAAACGGAGGCAAGGACAACGGGAGAGAGGAGGTACTTGAGGGGAAGGGCTTCCAGAGGAGCCACTGGGCGAGGTGGGGGGGCAGTTGGTTGGCAGACACAGAACAGGGACGTCAGCGGTGTCAGAGGGAAGAGGTGGGGAAGCCCGGAGGGGGGGTGGTCCTGGGGAGCCGTGAGGACAAGGACACGGAGCCAGTGGCACAGGGAGCATGTGTCCAGGAGACAGCGACCCCTGGAAAACAAAGCAGCAGGTTCCACCCTCAGCTGCCCTTTCCCCCACCTCCCTGCGAAGCCGGTGGGATTAGTGTCCTAAGCCCACAGCCCTCCCTGGGCCACAGCTGCTGTGACCTCTCAGGCCCAGCTTCTCCCGCATCCTGATGGGCCCTCCTTTACCAAGCCGGGGAAGGGCATTTCCTCAAGGCCTGGGGCGGGAGTGTCTCCTGAGGACCTCACAGTGCAGACGGATAAGTGGGGCCGGAGTCCTAGCCTCGGCCTGGCCTGCCCCTCCAGAGGATGCTCCCCGGGGCAGGGGCAATGCCCAGATGCCCACGCCAGCCTCGCGGCTCCTACTCCCTGCCTCCTCAGAAGGCGGGAGGTACACAGACCTACGTGGACACGCTAAGGCCATACAAGGCAGGACCAGAGATGGGAAGACGCTTGCATGCCACACAGATGGACACCAGAATGGGTATAGAGAGGCTGGGAGCGAAGGAGAGGCCCCAAGTGGCTCAATCAGAAAGAAGCATTTGCAGGGTGTGGGGCTGCCAGGCCTGGCACTCCATGAGACGACTTGGGCTGGGCAGGAATGGTGCCAGGGGGAGCTTGGCAAACAGGAGACAGACCCATCAGGCTCCTTTAGTTGTGTGTGGGCAAAGGGGCAACAGGTCATCCAGGGGCCCTGCTGGGGGGATGGTCACCCCGCGCTCTGAGGATCCTCAGCTCTGAGGTACAATTCGTCTGCTAGCGTCCCCCATCCTCCTGAGACCTGGGCACACACACTGCTTTGTGATACTGAGCCCTGGTGAGGGGTCGAGACGGATAACAAGAGGAAGCATTGTCTCTGTCCCGTTTCCTAGAGCTGAGAGAGAGATCGGGGTTCTGCTCCCAGGTTGGATTCCGGCTTCAGAGAACTCCCTCCCTCGCTGACTGCCTTTCCCAGCTACGGAGTGCGGAGGCGGGGCTACCCCAGTGGTCCCCGGCCTCTGGCAATCATGGCAGTGAATTTACCCTTCAATTAGGAGGATCACTATGGGGTACCTATAGCTTAAATTAAGTGCAGACATTAAAAAATGGTTCGTTTGTTATATTTGAAGAAATGTAACTTTCTAAAACAAAATTATTTTGTATGTGTGGTCTTCTGAAAATCGTGTGAGACAGGCGAAACCTTTGTCTTGAATGGGCACGTTCTGCGGGTCAAGTGTTTGAAGACTGATGTATAAGGTGACATCAAAGGGCCGTGGCCTATAACTAACTCCGTCAGAGCTAATTCGAAGGTGGGTTTCCCACATTGCCCAGCAGGTGGAGACAGAGAAAGCCGCATCTTCAGGCTTTGGATGGGGACTGGTGGGGGTGGGGGGGCGCGGTAGGGATTGAGCCTTTTCAGCCACCCAGAGCGAGCAGAACTGAAACACCCAGAAACCAAAACCCTGGGTCTCCAGTGGCTAAGGACCATGTACCACAGAAGCCAAACTCAAGTCACTGTCCCCAAGGGCCTGACACAGAGCTGCCCCATCTCCAACTCTTAGCACTGCCTCCCGGGAGGGTGCCGCCGGACAGCAGGTGGGGACCAGAAGGGGAAAGAGCCCTTACACTCCAGCATGAGGCCCGAGCACAGACGCCGGCCCAGGTACAGGCCGGGGGTGGCAGGTGGTCCCCGGAGGAAGTGGAGGGCTCCTGAGGGGGACAGGAACACCCTACCTGGCTGTGGGCAGGAGAGGCGGCCTCAGGGTCCAGCTACCAGCAGCAAGCAAAGAAGAGAGAAGAAGAGGGGTGAAGACAAGCAGACCATCCGCACGTCCCCTTGCGCAAGCGCCCTGGGCCAAGTGGGCGGGCACTCTCGGGCTGCCCAAGGTGTGGGGTACGGGTGGGAGCTGCTTAGCACCAGGAGGGGGGGTTGCTGGCCCGGGCAGGTGCACTGAGCCCACGGCAGGACAGGACTGTGCCATCCTGGCCACAGTCTCTCCCAGGCTGGCCATCTAGTCCATTCTGAATTAGGATCCTCTTCTGTATGCTGCCAGGCCAGGCCCCCTCACCATATCCAGGGCCTTGTTCCCCTGGGAGCCCCTTGCCTTGTCTATAGGGCATTTTCCAGCCTAGCTCCCCTGTAGCCCTCAGACCCCAGGACAGGGCTGTCCCTGGCCTCCATACACCCCCGCCCCCCGCCAAGGCTGCCCTTCAGAAATGTCATCACTGCACTTCTCAGACAGCAAGACCACCAGTAGCCCCAAGTCCAGGACCCTTCTTCAAACCCCCACGGAACCACCGCACCACTCCCAGGCGGGCACACTACCCATGGCACGTGGAGGCATCGCCCCATCCGGGTCCACATGCCAACCGCCCAAGTATAGGCACCTTGACCTCTCAGCCTCTAGCTGGTCACTTAAAGGCCTCTCTGGAGAGGAAGGGGAGTCGGCCAGGCCTTGGGCCTTGCCTCTTAGAAATGGACAAGGAGTTAACAGGCCCACCTGGGTCCGGAGAGCCGGGGCATCAAAAAAGGGGAGTGTCAGCTTCCCTCTCGACACCCACCAGACCTTGGCACCAAGACATGTCCTCATGGCAGGAGGACGGGCCCAGAAAAGGGGGTTGGATCCCCAGCCAAGAGGGGTCCCTCCACAGGCACTGGGCTCCCTGGAGGAGCAGGCGTCACTGTGCTCAGACCCACCACAGAGCCCTTCTCTCCTTTCTTGAAGTGGGAGGCCCATTGTGAGGCCCCAGGACCCAGGGAGCACTCTCCCATAGGCAGGTGCTCCCCCCCCCCACACACACACTGACACACACACTCTGGCCGCCAGCCTCGGGCAGGAGGAGGCCAGGGCCTGGGGAACCGCACGCGGGAGGTGGCATTACAGACGCGGTGAAGATCCTCTCCAGCCGCAGGTGGGCCTCCTCCGCGGGGCTCAGCCGGACCTCGGGGGCAGCTCCTGCCTGGAGGTTAAACCACCATGAGTCCCGGCCCCGGGAGTGGTGGGGACACCGCATGCCAAGCTGCTAGCCCAGGAAGCCACTAGGACCCAGTGGGTAAGTGAAGTAGGGTCAGGAAGGCAAGCCAGGCACCAATCTGAGGTTTTCAACTGTCAGATAAGAAAGAAAGAACGGGTGCCTGAGAGTTCTGAGGCTGTTTCTTCTCACCATCTTAACCGCTTCAGCACCAGATGGCCCTGCTCTTCCACGCACCCTCTGGCCTCTGCCATCGGCCAAGGCGGCTGAAGGCCAAGCAGAGCTCTTCTCTGATCCCAACTCCACTCTAGTGAGAGGTGGAGGACAGGGAGCCAGAGGGAGGGCAGCAGCCCAGGAGCCGCTCCTTGGAGGTTTTCTCAGGGATGGATGGCTCACCTCATGCCCTGCCCATCAAGCCAAAATGCCCCTGCCAACTCCTGTGTGCTAGGAGGTCCGTTTCCTGATGCAGAGTGAGCCACGAGGGCTGGGGAGAGCTGCAGCCTGTCCTCTCTAGGTTCTGCGAAACCCAAGAAGAATGGAATAGGCGCAAGACGGGTTCTGGGGCCTGAGGAATCCCAGGGGCTGGAGACAGGACCGGCCTGTAGGCTGTGCCCTGCCCCTCCCCTTCCAGCCAGGAGCACGGAAGAGCAGGAGAAGCAGTGGTGAAACTGCACCCACTCCCCGCCCCTCCGCCCCCCGTCCCCCCCTCCCCCGCAACACACACACACCTCACGAGGCCTCAGAAGGGTCTCTACACAATGGGAAAGCTTAAAGAGAACTGTCCCCAGGCCTAGGACCAGCCAAGCAGGCATCAC